TTCTCTAGGCACAAAAAATATACTAAACTATTCAAATGGATTCAGTTTTACTAGATAATTTTAAATCAACTTTTAATTTTCTTTAAACAAATAAATACCTTATTGATGAGAGATCTGATCCAGATCTAAATTATTTTAGCAAAGCAGGTGCTTTACAAAATAATTGTTGTTATTTTTACGCACATGAAATAAAGGACTTCCTAGAGCGTGACCATTTGAATGCCTTGCATATAAATATAAGAAGCTTAAAAAAAAATTTTGAAAGCTTTTGCTTATGTATGAAAGATACTCTAAACGTTTTTAATATAATTTGTGTAACCGAAACGTGGTGCAATTCTGACGAAGTGAATTATGACTGTAATATCCATTTACCTGGTTTTAAAATAATATCATTAGCGCGTAAAGCAAATAAACGAGGCGGCGGTGTGCTTATTTACATAATGGAAAGTTTTCAATTTTTTACAAGGCTCGACCTGAGTATTTCTGATGACAATAAAGAGATTTTAACAATTGAAATTTTAACCCAAAAAAATAAAAACATACTTTTAAGTTGTTGTTATCGCCCACCTTCTGGAAAAATTGAATGCTTCAACACATATTTAAATACTAATATTATGAAAAAAGCTGACCACGAAAATAAATTAATCTATATAATTGGTGATTATAATTTAAATTGTTTTGATTATCACGTCAAGCAAAGCACACAAAAGTTTTATAACGAATTATTCAAAAATGGAGCGTTTCCTATAATAGATAGACCAACCAGAATTACTGAAAAAACGGCTTCAATAATCGATAATATTGTAACTAACGATATTTTTAATGAATCTTCAAAAAAGGGTATTATTAAAAGTGACATTTCCAATCATTTCCCCATTTTTTTTCTCTATAAATATAAAACCAAAAGTACTACCTAATGAAAAAACAACCTTTTTAAAACGTATCTATAACGAAGCTAATTTATTATCGTTTCATTAACAACTGTCATTTCTTCATTGGAAAGATATAAACACTTCATCTGACGTAAACTTTGCTTACAACCAATTTTTTAAATCTTTCTATGAGGTATATGATGTAAATTTTCCGAAACGCGAAATAAACTTAAAAACCAAAAGTATAAAATCACCATGGATTACAAACACCCTAAGAAAATCATCAAAAGTCAAACAAAAGTTGTACATTAAATACCTTAAAGAAAAAACGATAGAAAGTAAAACCATCTACAAAAAATATGCGAGAGAATTTGAAAAAATTAGAAAGAATCTTAAAAAAAAATACTATTCCGATTTACTTATGCGATACGAATGTGATTCAAAACGCACATGGCAAATTTTAAGAGAAATTACCGGTAAAACAAAAATTAAATCATGCGCTCTGAAAAATGGCATTAAAATTAATGGTGATATCTCTTATGATCCACGTGAAATAGCAATCGAACTAAACAAATTTTTTGTCACGATCGGACCTAATTTAGCAAGAAATATACCAAATATAAAGAAAACAAGTGATATCTCATCTATTGCATTAGCTAATCTTGATTTTTTGGAATTATCGTTTGAAGAATTTGAAACAGCTTTTAGTGCGCTAAAACCAAATAAAGCAAGTGGCTTCGATGATATAAATAGCAATGTAATAAAAAATTCATACAAGGCTATAAAAGTCGTGCTTTTTAAAATTTTTTCACTTTCAATCAGACAAGGAATTTTTCCTGATCAATTTAAAATTGCAAAAATCACACCGATATTCAAAGGAGGAGACTTAACAAATATCAATAACTATCGCCCTATCTCTGTTCTTCCAGTCTTTTCTAAAGTCTTAGAAAGAATTATTTATAAAAAAATTTACACTCATTTAACTAACAACAATTTATTATTTAACAACCAGTATGGATTCAAAAAAAACAACTCTACAGAGCACGCGATTCTCCAGCTAACACGTAGTATCACAGAATCTTTCGAGAAATCCGAATATACTTTAGGCATCTTCATCGACCTATCGAAAGCCTTTGATACAATAGATCATAAAATTCTTTTTAAAAAACTCAAAAATTACGGAATAACTGGAAATGTTTTAAAGTGGATAAAAAGTTATTTAAGTAATCGCAAACAATTTGTAACCATTGACGCTCCAATAAGTTTGTTAGAAATTACTTGTGGTGTTCCTCAAGGATCTATTCTCGGACCACTTCTTTTTCTTATATCAACGATCTCTATAAAGTATCCAGATTAAAAACAATCATGTTTGCAGATGATACAAACTTATTCTTATCTCCTACTAACATCACTACTCTGTTTCAACTTATGAATGTAGAATTAAACAAGATTTCTTACTGGTTTAAATTAAATAAATTATCGCTTAATATTCAAAAAACAAACTGGACTCTCTTTCACCCGCCCTCTAAGAAAAAACTACTGCCTTATGAAATCCCATCCCTTTTTATTGATAACATCGAAATAATTAGAGTAAACGTTACAAAATTCTTAGGTGTTTATATTGATGATAATCTTTCGTGGAAAAATCATATTGAAAATTTATATAACAAAACTTCAAAAAGTTTAGGAATTTTATATAAAGCAAGAAACTTTTTAAATAAAAAAATTTTAACTCAATTATATTTCTCTTTTATTCATAGCCATATAAATTATGCAAACATTGCTTGGGCTTGCACCAATAAAAGCAAACTTGAACCTCTTTATCGTCATCAGAAGCATGCAGCACGTTTGATACATTTTAGTGAACGTCTTACTCATGCAAAGCCTCTATTAAAAAAAATGAACGCCTTAAATGTATATCAACTCAATATTTATAATACTCTTTGTTTTATGTTCAAATGTAAAACTAATTCTTCACCAGTTTCTTTCCATGATTTGTATATGTTAAAAGATAAAAATAAATACTTTTTACGCAATAACAATTTTATTAAGCAGCCATTTTTTCAAACTAACTTGAGCAAATTCTGCATTACTTCTCGCGGACCATTCTTATGGAACAAAATTGTCTTAAAAAACTTTTCTCAAGATTTTATCCAACAATGTAACTACAACTCTTTTAAACGAAAGTCAAAAGAATTAATTTTTACTATTGACGATTTCTCAATTTACTTTTAATAATTTTTAATAGTTTTCCCATTTTACCTCCACTTATCAAAGAACTATTATTATTTTATAATTTATATATTTACCAAGAATATGTATCAATATATATGACAATTTATATGTTTATTAACTTATATAGTATTTATATAACTGATCTTTATATTTATAACGGGTTTTCTGAATATTTTTAATTTGTTTGTATCACGTTCATTTTAGCGGTTCTCGACGACAAGACCTTACGGTCTTCTACGAGTCCCCGCGTTCTTTTATTTCTTATTTACGATTTTTCTTTTTTGTTATTTTTTTGTAACTTCTATATTTTATTTTTCAATTTGTATATTTATAACGGAATGTTGTTTAAAATGTAATAAAGAACAAAAATAAAAAAAAATAAAAAAAGTCTAAACAGCCTTCCTCAAAATGTTTTTTTAATGTTCAAAAAGCATCAAATGACTCCAGTTTCAAAGTTACAATTTTTTAGTTATATTGCCAGCTTGTTTAAAACCTACTTGACACTCTATGAGACTGATCAACCAATGATTCCATACTGATCTTAGAGAATTAATAACAAATATTTTAGCTTTATTTATTAAACCTTCAGTAATTCAAAGCTGCAAAAAAGGTAGTGACTTAAAAAAGATAGATCTCTATAAAAAAGAGAATTTGCTACCAAGGAAAGATGTTATTATTGGTTTTGTGGCTGAAGTTTCAATTAAAGAACTACTTGTTAAAGATAATATAACACTTAATGAGATAAATCAGTTTAGAAATGAATGCGTTTTATTTCTCACAAAAACCATGGAAAGTTTACTTAAACGCATCCCACTAGACTCTGCAATCATAGCAAATGCAAGTTGTTTCAAACCAATCAATCTCAAAACATTAACAATTGAATCTAATCAAAATAAACTAAAAAGATTGTTACATTATCTTGTCAGTTGAAAAATTATATCTGCAATACAAAGTGATAATGTCATGCTTCAGTATTCAATATTTATAAGAAATGACATGAAAATAAATATAGAAAAATTTCTTAGCTTTGATAAAAAAGCCACTCGTTCAGATATCTTCTATTTTCATCAACTAGAGATAGCCAAACATAAGGAACAAAATCATATTATCAAAATGATTTTAATGGTTAGTCATGGTCAAGCTTTTGTAGTAAAAGTTTTTAGCATAAACAAAACAATTCAAAATGAAAATATTCAGTCTAACTCAATAGTCTCTTATCGCATTATAAAAGATCATATGAACTCTCAGAACATTAAAGCTGACACTATTAATATCACAAATGCATTAATGTTATCATTAAAGTCAGCCAGACAACAGTACCAAATCAGTTTAGCAGAACAGGCGAATTTAAAGAAAGAGTGTGAATCGAACCACCAAAGTGCAATCATATTAGATGAAATTAAAGAAGTAAAAAAAAAAAGAATTTACTTGTAACAGCATGTAGTACATTATATAAAGATTTAAAGTTTTCCACATTCAATATTGAATCTGGAAAACTCAAGGATTTTAAAAAACTAAAATCAGGGAAAAATGTACTTAACTCAGGGAATACTCAGGGAAAACTCAAAGAAAAGCTTTTAAAGCTTATATATATATATATATATATATATATATATATATATATATATATATATATATATATATATATATATATATATATATATATATATATATATATATATATATATATATATATATATATATATATAGACACACACACACACACTCTCACACATATATATATATATATATATATATATATATATATATATATATATATATATATATATATATATATATATATATATATACACATACATACATACATATTTGATAAACATATATATAAAAGATTTTAATCTATTTACTCATTTAATTATATTTTAAATACAGGCATTTACTACAAAGGATGAAAAAAAAAAAGCAATGTTGTTTACATTAGCAGAAAGAATGGTTTTAAAGCGATTAAAAGAGAGTAAACTTGAAGCAGAGGAAGGTTTGTTTGTTTGTTATTTTCCACATTTTTAAGTAAGTTTTGAATTAAATAAAAAATACTAAGATAATACTTTACACACAAAGTTTTTTTGCTTTTACAAACTTTTTAAATAGTATAAAGAGTTTATAAATTTTAAGTTTTTTTTTTTTTTTTTTAAATACTGATTTTTGTTACATATTAATGTTGTAGTTACAGCAACCAGGATTGGTTCTAACACTAGTTGAAAAATAAAGTGAAAGTAGATAATATAGAGATAATAGAGTATGAGAGTAAAATGAGAGTATTAGTGTGAGAACAGGTAGGAGAAGAGAGGGAATGAAAGAATTCTACATTGTTTTGGTGATGTTGAAGAAAACAATTAGCTGATTGTATGTAGAGACTTTAATGGTTATATTTATACATCTGCAGATGGTTTAGAGAAGTACATTATGGAATGGCGTAATGGTTCAGGCATAAGAAAGTTTGAAAGTTTTCAGATGCTATGGATCAGCAATCTGTAATATATGGTTGACAAAATAAGTTCAACAAAAAGTAATTTGTGAATCAGGAGGCTTAAAAACAAAAACAAATGATACAGATTGTTACAGGAAGCACGTAAGGTCAGTACACTAAATATATTTTTTAAGCGTCTCAGCACTTTGCAGTACTGTGCAAAATTTGACGTCCCCAGACAATATGTTCTGTTCTGGCAAAGACCTGAAGTTACCCCAAAATCATCAAAGACACTGTTTTTTTATTATAATTTTTAAGTTAACTTTTTAATGTAATTTCAAAACCAGGTTCATATAAGTACAGCTGTTTCTATTCTTTTTTCAATTTCTTTTCTAATATTTTTAATCTCTTAATACAGTACCTTTTTGACTTATACACGAGTATATGCAGTATGTTAACATTACATGGTGCATAGGAACATGCTCTGAGACCTTGCAACACATTCCCAGAAGTTTTTTTGTGTGTGTTTATTATCATAAGACTCTTCTATATTTCAAAAATGTAAAAAACAACTTTTTTTACTGGGGACCTAGGGAGAAATCATGTATTTTAGGCGAGTGCCTAGTAATTTTGTTGTTCAAGATAGTTAACTAAGAACTATGTGGCATACTCAAATTTTTAGTATGTTAATACTGGTATTAAATGAGGATGAATCTTTACAATATCAGTTAATCATCCAGATACTTGGATCAAGTTCATAATGGGGTACTGCGTTGTCTTGAACTGAGGATTAGGAGATCGGTGCAATGGGCAATTCATCAACTGCATTTCAATGAATTGCCTCTTTGCCATTTGTTTGATTCCCTTGATGGTCGTACCTCTGGACTTACACTGGTTGCATTGTAGTTGAAGGCCTTGATCTCAATGTCATTGCCCCAGTAATTTCTCAGAATGGTTACTTTGCATCTCCAAAAAGTTCTGCTTGTACTGTTAACTGATAAGAGAACACATATCAGAGCCCAGAGCGTTTGAAGAGTCATACAAGTATGAGAATCTTTTAAGATGGTTGGAAACATTAGGGTTAAAAAAATTCTATATTCCGAAAATAAACTTGAAGCAAACTACTAAATTAATCTAATTGACTGGTCGTCCAACAAAGTTACTCCGCCACCATTGCTAAATAATGGGACTACAGAAAATTTAAAAAAAATGCTGAAAGAACCAATACCTTGCAATGAAAATTGCAACTTTTGCACACTATCCACAAAGTGCTATGATGCTTAAAAAATATTACAAAAAATAGATGAAAATATAGAAATTGTACTAAATTTTGGAAATTATAAATCCCTTTCCAGAGCAGAAAACATTGTACTAAGGTATTGAAATTTTACACAGAAGTTACTTATGTATAGAGATAACTTCCGTTCTATCGCCAAAGCATCATAATTTTTTTTTTCCAAGCACTATTGACCAAAGCTTTTTGCATGTTTTGAATTATTAAGCATTTCAAAAAATCGCAAAACAAAATAAAGCTAAACTAAACATTAAAAAATAAAAATAACAATTAACAACTGAAATTTTAAAATAATAAAAATAAAACTTAACTAAAATAAAACTCAAAGAGGAAATTAAAACGTTTATAATTTACTTAGGGAATAAAAACTTAGAAACTTTGATTTTTCAAATGGTTTTATATTATGCAAAACTCTATTAAATAAGGTAACAAATTACAACTGATTAATGTTAATTTTTTATCAAAATATTTATTTAAATTATCAAAGAATTTTATATATAATATAACTTTATTATTTAAAAAGTTGCGTTTTTTATGATAAATAACTTTAATATTTCAAAATAACTTTTAGTTAAATGATTTTATATATTATGCGAAATATTTTTAGGTAATAGCAAATTACTTCAAGCGGTTATTTATAATAAACATGTTTTATATAAATTAGCAAATAGTATTTTATATGATTTTTTTTTTGTTTGTATAAATATATATTTATTTCAGCAAAATACACGCTAGTTAAATTATAAAACACTTATTAAATAAATAGCATTGTAAATTTTTTTCAAATGATTTTATTCTTTGTTTAGTAAATGAAGTTTTTGCTTTACAAAGAAATACTTACTCTTTTTCATTTCTTCGTAGTAAACAAAAGAAAAAAAGTGATTAAAGTGTTTATAATTATGTTTAGAATAGGTAACTTTAAAACGCTTTCTGGAGATTTTTTTAAAGCTTTTAAATGATTTTATTTTTAATTTTAGTAGAATTTTTGAATAAAAGTTTATATATATTTTTTTGCTGTTTTCTTTTTTGATATAAAATGTTGAGTATTGTATTTTTTTTTCACACTTTAATTTTGTTCAGCTTAGTTCTTTCAGTGCATTTTTAAAACACTTGAATTGGCGGAATATGCAAACAGCTGTGGGTAAAAAATATTATTTTATTTGTGGCCACACAAAGCGTTTGGCCACACACATTTCCTATTACAATCTGATGGTATTTTATCAGAAAGCAAGATAAAAAATGGATAACATAGGAGTAATTTAAGGTTAAACTTGTATTTGTACAAAGCACAAATTAATTATTTGTTGCAGTTGGTAAAAAATCAAAATTAAAGGAAAAAAGATCTTTGCAAATAAGTGCAGAATTGATAGAGGATGAAGAAGTAACCATTTTGAGAAGTTCAAGCAAGACTAGATTTCAGGAAATATGAAATAAATGTATAAAAATGTGAAGAAAAGCTTCTCATACTCATCTAATGAAGTACATGGTCAGCCTTCCCAAACGCAAGGAATCATAGTAGTGGTAAGCAGAAATGGATAAAATTGTAGAAAAGTATAAAATTTTGAAAAATGTTTAAAAATGAAGAACTGAACGCTCTTGTGTTGCTTAACTAATTGATATTCAGTGAGATGCTAGGTTTGAAGAACAAAAGAATTGTAAGTAACGCAAATGGTTAGAAAAGATAAGGGCGTTGTTGTAATTGTTTTTAGCAATGTAAGAGAAAATGAGAAGTTGGTTATATGTGGAGACTTCAATTGTCATATTTATACATCCACAGATGGCTTAGAGGGAATATATGTATGAGCCTATATGTTCAGTCATAAGAAAGTTTGAGGTAGAAGTTTTGTTATAATTTTTGGATGCTATGGGTCAACAGTCTGTACTCTATGGTTAACAAAAAAAAGGTCAACAAAAAGTAACTTATGAATCAGTTGGCTTAAAGACAAAAGTAGATGATACAGGCTGTTACAGGAAGCTGCATTAATGTTACAGGAAGCTGTTTTAATATGTTAAATAATAAAAAAAAACAACTAAGAAGTCGAGGTAAGAAAAAAGTGGATGACTCTTTGCTAAATGAAGAAAGTTTTTATTCATACCTTGAACACTGAATTTAAATAGATTTAAATTCAGTGTTCAGGGTTCAGTACTAAGTCCTTTGAAATGCGTTCACAAGAGGTGTAGCAGTTTACAAGGTGCTCCTAATATTGTTGGTCTGAGTGTAATTACAGGCAACATGATAAAGCTTTAGTTAAGAAGTTATTATGCTCAATATTGTGTATTTATTATTGATTATTGTATTTTGAACATATTTGTGGAGAAATAGCATTATGAGAACTTTTGGTCTTTTAAAACAATTGGTGCAAGCGTAGTTACTAGGATGCCAAGATGATGATAATTTACAATAAAGTATTATTTAGTAAATGTTTTTTTATTGTTTAGAAGTTCGTTTATATCTCTTAATACTTGAAGAACTTGGAAAGTATGAAGAACTCTTATCTGTCATTCAAAGTGATTTAGGAGGTAATATATATTTTTAATTTATTTTATTATAAATAAAATTGAGATAAAATGCCTTTTAAAATGAAGTTCTATTTCCAATATAGAAACATATTTTCAAATTAAAGATTTTAATTGTTAATAAAGTTAGTATATTTACAAAAAGGTTATTCAATGTACTTAAAAACATGTTTTCTGTTAAGCTCGACTTTTTTTAGGGGTTTATGATAAAAGTTACAATCTACTAAGTGTATCACTAAACGTTTTGCCCAATGAATAATGGAGAAAACGTTTAAGGGTACATTTGAATTTGAATGGTATAAGTTTTAAAAATATGTCTGCAATTAGAAAAAATTTTAAATACCATTGTGAACTTAACATTGTTAATGTCGCAATCTGCAGACTTTAGCGATTCCTTTGAAGTGCGTTTAATTCATAAAAGTTTTAGTATTTGACGTCATGGTAGACTTTTAGCAAATAAAACTCTGGAAATTTTTTTTTTATTTTTATTCGAAACTTTTTTGATTATTTCTTTAGTTTTACATTAATTACCCGTATAAGAAACAGCATTTTTATTTGGTTAGACAATATTTTGTCTCAATTTGCTTTGCATGAAGTTCGGGAAGTCAAACGAAAAAAATTAGTTTGAATAATCACGTTGAAATATATTTAAAACAAATTATTTAAATGACGGGGGTACTAAAGTCTTTTTATTGAAAAAGTAGGTACAAAATAAATAACTAAATAAAAAGTTCAACATTAAACATCTTTTTTTTTTGTTATATTGCAACTGTAATTATTAAAATATTAACTTGAACTAAATTTACTTATTACTTAGATCGACTAAGCAATAAAAATAAAAAGCCCCTAAAATTATGCAATATTGTGTTGTTTATTTGATAATTGTTGTTGGTAATGTTGTTTATGTTGATTATTTTCATTAATATCAAAATAGTCCCAGATTAATCTGTTAGTTGCTTCTTTATTTCTAATTTAATTTTATCTCTAAGTATAATTCTATGTTACGAAAGAAAAGTTTTTATTTAATCGCGCACTCTTTTTATAAAAGAGTAGAATAAAAGAGAAAGAAAAGTTTCACGTAATTAAACTTCGAATGAACAAGAGTTGTATAGAATATATATATATATATTTTTTGCATCACTTGTTCTTTTTTAGCATGAGAGAAATAAAAGTTTAATAGTAACTTTTCTTTGAATAAATGAGAATTGGAAGAGAAAATTGCTTGAAAAAATGAATTTGTTAATTGTGTTTTTTAAAAAAATTTTATTTTTCATGTTAAGAGACAAATGCCAAATACGACACAAATTGGGAAATACCAAATATAATGTTTTTTAACGTGCGTTATAACAATTTAAATTACCATCTATCTTGAATTATTGCCATTAATTAATGTGTTAATTATTGCGTTGTTTAATAATAATTTGTCTGTATTTTTGTTAAATATTAGTTGTATAAAACGGGCAAAAATATACGAACTTCATGTTTTAATTTGATGGTTATAAAATATTGAACAGTAAACTTATAATCAAAATTTATAATGCTGACTTGTGTTGCTATTAATTGTACTTTTAATGCAAAACCAAGATCTCACATATCTTTTCACAAATTTTGATATCCAGGGCCGACGACACGGGTTTTGAAGTGGGAGGGGGCACAATCATCAATTTGTGAAAGAAGTCCTATAAATCAAGATTTTTCTTTAAAAAAAAAAAAAAAAAAGGTCTTTAAGAAAAAAAGTGGGTGGCACGTGTCCTATTGGCCCCCCGGTGTCGTCGGCCTTGATATCTGATACTACTGTCAACTGTATTGTTTAGTGTATTCTTGTACTTTTTTTTCATAACCTTAACAGGTTCTAATTGGTATGGAGTTGCCGACATTTTAAAAGTTTCATTATCAAATCATTATCAAATGTAAAATAAAATGTTATTTCCTTTTTATCTGTATCCAATTCAGCAAATTTAGCAATTTAAATTAAATGTGTAATCAAAAAATTTTTATAGCGAAAAAAGTTAACAATTCATCAAATATCTTTAATTAATACTATCAGTTTATGAAATTAATTGTTAATAAAAACGTTTTTCGAAGAGAAAACAAAAAATGTCATAACGTAAAAATAACCAGAGAAGTTAGAAAATAGTTCCCATTGTTTAAATAAAAATAAGTAAAAATCAGAATATATAATACTGCGTTCTCTTGCACAAAAACGAGAGACCATATATTTAACGTTCTGTATAATGTAAAATACTCGTATGAAAACATAAGATTAGTAAGTAAATCTTTAATATTTGTTTTAATTTAAAAACAAAAGAAATATAAGTAATATATATAAATCTAAAAGTTATTCAGATATCTGTAAAAAATAAGTTGCTCCTATAAAATAAAAATAATTTATTGTTTTCATTTAAAAAAAATTTTTTTTTGCAATGTTTGGAAAAATAATACAAATAATTTATTTTGCTGAATGTTAAAAAAATACTACAGTAGAAAAACGCAGCTTAGTTTAATTACTACAGTAGAAAAATGCAGCTTAGTTTAATTACACTTTTCATTTGTTATAAGTCTACTGTGACGTCAAATACTAAAATTTTTATGAATTAAATGCGCTTTAAAGGAATCGCCAAAGTCTGTAGATTGCAACGTATAATTTGAAGACTCCAAGTTGTTGAAAAAATGGAGAAAGCAAGCTTCAGCTAAAACAACAACATTAAGTTTTCTCGGTATGAAATCATTATTTATTTTTAATCAAAAAAACTTGGTTCAAACCTTTTTTTTCAACATTATCTTTAATATGAACACAACATGTGTTGGGAGTTTGGGATCCTTTTAAGAGTTTGAACTTTGTAAACAATTTTGCTGAATGTAAAATCTAGCGAATTGTAAACTGTATACTTATAAATGTCATTTCTAATTTATGCCTCGTTAACTATTAATTTATATATGTGATTTCTAATTTATGCGTGCTAAATGACTCTGCTAAAAGTGGATTAATGTGTTTTGTTGAAACTGTTAACAAAAAATTACATTCCAAAACATTGTACAAGTTACGGAAGGTAATAACAGAAATATGCTTTTCAGAATATATCAATTTTTAAATTAAATGTCTACTTATTTAAATTCTGATTTAATAGAGTGATTTGATGTGATAAAAACATTTAAATATAAATATAACATTAGTTTTATTAACATTTTGAGAATTTTTTTTAACTTATGCTGTTATTGTGTTTAGAATTTTGTTATATTTTTTGAGAATAATTAGCAACCATTAACAAATTAGTAAATTTTATTTATTAGTAAATTAGTAAGTTTTTTAGAAAAATTGTTAGTTTTGAGAGTAATTAACTACCATTTTGAAAGTAATTAAAAACCATTTTGAAAATAATAAGCAACCATTAGTTAAGGAAAATAAAAAAAGATTAAGATCAAGATAAGAAGGTTGACAGAAAACAACTCTCAGTTGATATATATATATATATATATATATATATATATATATATATATATATATATATATATATATATATATATATATATATATATATATATATTCCAGGAGAGTGGAGGTCATAACATTTGACACTCATTAAGCTATAAAAAATGAATGAAAAATAAAAATGGTTTGAAATTTTCCAGAAATGTGAAATACTATCATATAATTTAGTATGTAAAAGCATTAAATTAAACTTTTTTCAAAAATAAATTTTTTAGCAATTCTAACCTAACTGCTAAAAACATAGAAGCGAGGTCCTCAAAAAATTGCCAATCTCATTTCTATGTTTTATAGTTAAATCTGTGCATCAAATTATTTTTGTCAACATGATGCAAATCTCTAAAAGATTGAGGTCGGCAAATTATTGCCGGCCTCATTTTATAAGGTCAGCAATAATTTTAAAATAATTTTTTTCCAATTCATTTATTAAAATTATTTTATTCTTTTTTGAGGATTTGATTTTTATTTTTCAGATAAACTCAAATGTATTTTTAATGAAAAGTATGAAAAAGAAATTGAGTATTTGAAAAATCTTAAACTTTGGAGCGAAGTTTATATAAAAGCTCAAAGTCTACTGAGTAAGTGGTGAGTATCAAATTTATAGAAAAAAAATAATATAATCAAAGAAAATGATTTATATTAATGTATATATTCATGGTTTTGATATTTTTATAGTAAGATATTTTTAAATTAGTTATTTTTTAAATATCCAAACCTGTAGTGCTTTAAAACTAATAACTCAAGTCCAGAAGTGTTTGTTATTGTTGCTACTATGCAGTGTTTCTGTTCAAATGATTTCTTGTAAAAGGTCTTCTAAGTAAAGAAAAAAGGGAAAAGTAAAAATTTTCTGTTGAGGCTCTGTTAGAGCCTTTGGTGTGAGTTGTTGAGGCTATATGTGTACTATGCACTATATACAATGAAGTTCTTTATTAGTTTATTGCATGAATAAAATAAACAAAAAAACTCCAAACGGTTTTAATCTTTTACAAATTCATTGTCTTGGAAATAATTTTTTATCCATTAAATGTTACCTTTTGTGAAATTCGCTTTTCAATTTCATTTTTTCTTCAAATCTTAGAGTCTCAGAATTTCTTAGAATGGCTGTTATCCTTTGAGGAGAGTCAATGGCTGTTATCCTTTGAGTAGAGTCGATGGCTGTTATCCTTTGAGTAGAGTCAATGGCTGTTATCCTTTGAGTAGAGTCAATGGCTGTTATCCTTTGAGTCGAGTCAATGCTGTTATCCTTTGATATTGTTGTCTTTGATATCGATACTGTCTTTAAAATAATTTTTCACCCATTAAATTTTAACTTTTGTGAAATTCACCAGGCCTACTTCATTTTGCTTTATTTTGAGACCAATTTAGTTTGGCTGTTTCATCTTTAGATCTTCAGTTACATGTTCAGATCTTAGAGATATTATTGCTCATGTATAAACTCACTTGTTCGTCATGAAACCAGTTTTGAATCTTTGGAATTGTTTTGTGTTTATGCTTAACAACTCTTCACTCTGTAACCTTTTTTTTTTTTGTTCTTTATTGTTTTCTTTCTTCACAATAATGAAGTCTTACTAACGTTGTTTCTAATCAAATTGACTAAGCTCATTCTCTTTATCATACATTAATGTTCATCACATTGAACAATTTGGCTCTAATATCACTTGTGTTTTGTCTTTTTTAATCTCTTGCTTTTGACTTTGGAAGTTTTTGACAAAAAAAAATTGACAAGTTATGCAGACAACTATAATAACTTTTCTTCACTTTTTTGATTTACTTCTGACCCTAGCATGTGCTCAGTTTCTCTTTGTGCTAAAAAAAAACCCTTTTTCAATTTTTAGTTTTTGATATTATTGACTTCTACTCTTCTATCAGTGAAAGACTTCTAAAAAATATCGATTTTGTAGAACAACATCCAAATTAAATGAAGAGAATATATCAATAATTTTTCATGCAAGAAAGTCTTTGCTTTTAAATGATGATCAGGTTTGGATAAAGCAATCATGTGGTTTGTTTGATGTTTCCATGGGAGTGTTCGATGGTGCAGAGGTTTGTGAGCTGGTAGGAATATTTCTTTTTAAAATTTCACAATTTTATAACAAGGTTGAGGTTGGTTTATGTTTTGGCAGTTTTAAGTAATAAAAGTGGTCCTCAAATGGAAAAAATAAAAAAGTATAGTGTCAAGATATTTAATGCAATGGCTATCACATTTCTATACAGTGCAACATGAGAATTGTCAACTACCTCGATATAACTGTAAATCTTAGTGACTGCACTTTTAAGTCTTATTTCAAACCTGATAGCACATTAAATTACATCTATGCTGATTCAAATCACCCGCCCGAGAATTTCCCAGTTTCTGTTACATTGACAGATTTAGAAAACCTTTGAACACTGTAAATGTTTGCTTATTCAACAAGCAAGGTAAACAAAGTATCTTTCAAAAACATTTGGAAATATATCAATGTGGTAAAAAAATCAACATTAATAGGTGGAAGACTAAATTCACAACCATAAAAAGTAGTATCTTTAATAGGTGGTGTTTTATTATGCCACTTGTAATTGTGTGTTATTATCTTTGGTGAGACAAATAAAGAAGTTTGCTTGTATGTGTTTGGCTTATCTAAAGTTGTAAATTCAATAAATATTTCATTTTCCAAAAGAATATCTTGTTATCTATCTCGTATATATCTAACATGTTAATAACATGTTAGATATAACGTATCAAAAGATTTATGTATGACCAAAGTCATACATAAATCTTTTGATACGTTATATCTAACATGTTATTAACATGTTAGATAAAACATCAAAAATACAAAATGATGAAGATTAAAATGTTTCTTATATTTTATATTAGTTGAGTGTTTCTTTAATATCAAATTTGTGTTTCACTAATATAAAAGCAAGGTGTTTTTAGTATTTACAAAGTGTAACTGCTTAACCATAAAAGTGTTATGGTTTGCACCAAAAATGAACCGCCAACCATGGGTTGCATGGTTTTAACCAAATGGTTTAAACCATTGGTTTAAACCATGGTTTAAACCAATTAAAAAAATGTCGGTTTAAACCAAACTAATGTTTTTTTAAAAAGATTTGAACTTACAACAGGAAACTAAGGCAGGGTTATGCTCACAAATATAACTAATCTTCAATATAGATATATTTTTTTAAATCCATGATTTTTGTTTTTGTTTTTTTCAAAAATTTATCAATATGCTTTATCCACTCTACCTAATAGAACTGAAATTGGAGGAGAATTATTTGATAGGGTTTACACAGAAGAAGTTGAAAAATGTAATGTATTGAATGGGAAAATTGTAGTCATGTCTTTAGATGGCTGGAGTAATGTACATATTGAACCTATAGTTTGTATCTCTGTAATTACAGATAAAATTAACATTTTAGTAGAAACAATCAACACTTCAGGTCATTCACATACTGGTGAATATCTTACACAATTAGCAAGAGAAGCAATAGATTTTGTAAGGTGTAAATTTGGGTGCACAGTAAAAAGCTTTGTGACTGACAATGCAGCTAATGTGAAATCAATGAGACAAGTATTGTCATCTGAAAGAGATATTATCGTAACTTATGGGTGTGCTGCTCATATGCTGAATCTTTTAGCAAATGATCTTAACATTGAAAATGTGAAGAAGCATGTTACAAATAATAAAATATATAAGAAATAATCAAGCTAGAGCAATTTATATATTAGGCGGAGGAACAAAATTGCCACTTCCTACTGAAACTCGCTGGAATTCTGTATATGATTCACTTGAAAAATATGTCAACAACTGGAGCATTATTTTTACAATGTTTGAAAAAAATAAAGACTTGGATCCCGTGATTGGTAAAAAAGTAAGTGATATACAGATAAAGCGAAACACAGAAGATTTATTGAAAATATTGAAACCAATTGCAGTAACTCTAGATAAGTTGCAAAGAGATCAAACAAAAATAACTGGCTCTTTAAATTTTTAAAAATTTGATGAACAGTTTATCACTTTTATCAAAAAAAAAAAAAATTGAATCTAGATACTTTCAGACTGTCAGTGATGCTCATTTCCTAGCAAACACACTAGATCCTAGATATTTTGGATCTAATCTTTCTGAAAATGAAAATGAAGCTGCCATGAATTTCGCAGATAAAGAGTTCAAGAATTTGTAACCAATATTACCCAAATTAAAAGCCAAATCTACTATAACATAATGGAAATTGAAGGTTTATTAAATACACCAGCTTCTAGTGCTGGAATCAAAAGAATTTTTTCAATTTTTGTCTTGTTCATTCTAAGTTAAGAAACCGATTGAGGGTAGAAAAAGCAGCAAATCTTGTATTTATATATAGAACATTAAACAATAATATATTAAATAATTTTGATGAAATATAACAATAATATTGATAAAGAATATAGTTTACTCAAATAAAATACGTTATGCTTTTTTTAATTTAAAAGGATAACTAAATTCCGCATTTTTTAGTAAAAACCTAATTTAAACCAAAAAAACCATGGTTTTTTTGGTTTTTTTAAAAAAACCTATGGTTTTTGGTTTTTTTCAAAAAAACCGTTTTTTTTTTTTGCAACCCTGCCGCCAACATATATAACAGCGAATTGGCGGAGTGATAACTGATTAGATACATCACATCAACAAATATTATTAACTTGGTTGTATGTAAAATATTATATTTTAAGATTCAACTAATAAATAAACTAAAAACATTAATAATAAAATCAGTACAGCCAAGTAAACAAGCTATTCAAAAACATGTGACTTTTTAACTTAAAATCTTCATAACTTTATTGAACAATTTCATAATAACTAATAATTCATTTTTAAATTTTAATGCAAAAAGATTGTAGGTTAAATTTTTTCAAGATGTTTTCCAAATTAGTCAAAGTTTTAAGAACTCATTAGATTTATATTAGTCCTATGCAATAAAGGGTTAAAACGAAATCAGGAATTCAACAGGATTTTTTAAGTTATAATTTTTTTATAAAATTATGATTATTTTTAAAATTTTATATAATTTCACATTATTTGAGGACCTATGATGACCATGGCATGACTTAAAAAATTTTTTTTTTGATTATATTAGGGATCTGTTTGATGTTTAAGGGTCTTGTGGCACCTTTAAAAAAAATTTTATTCAATATTATTTTTCTAGTATTGTTTTATTAAGAACACATTTAGGGGATGTTAGCCAACATTTTCAAAAAATAGTTGTTTTATGCACCGATATATATATATATATATATATATATATATATATATATATATATATATATATATATATATATATATATATATATATATATATATATATATATATATATATATATATATATATATATATACAGGCCTTGCGATGAATAAGAACTGCGCGACGCATAAGCACGACGTGATTTTTGACGTCATTAAATTCTTTTTATTTGCTTTTCATATTTATTGACATTAACTGCACCAATTTACTTAAATACTTTAAATCATTAATGTAGAAATGTTATTATTTAAAAATGTTTCGTTTTTTAAAATGTAAAAACATTTGTTTATTTTCTCGACGTTTGACACGTTTTGTCTATACTAAAGGAATAAAAAACATAAGTTTTTCAAATAATTATTTTTTCTTTTTAAAAAGTCAGAGAGTAATAAACTGGAAATTTTTATAATGTACGATTAAAAACTGTGCAATAGCTAATATTTTTACTAGCGATTTTATATAATAGTTTTTTATTTATTTATTTTTATTTATTTTCATAAAGCGGTTGATAAGCACAATCACTCGTATTATTAAAAAACTTTAACGAACGTTTTGAATAGATTTTTAATGTTTACAAGGAATTTTATTTTTGGTAAAATAAAATGTTAGAGTAAAAATCTTTTAGGTGTAAAATTTCAGCGAAAAAATTATTCCTAAAAATTATTATTAAAAATTATTCGAAAAACTATTGACGTTCTATTTTTCAGCAGCTGTTCTTGAGCACGCTTTGTTGAGTTTCGGTAACTTTTAACAAAAATGCAATTGTTATTATTTAAGTAATTTTTTTCGAGTTACTTTTTACAAAAATTTTAATAACTGTACTTTTTTATTGAATCAAGTAGAATACGTTTTAATATTAATCCTTTTATTTATTTTATTTGCGCTTACCAATTTTAAAAATGTTTCCTCGAAATTACTCTTAAATACTTTAAATTCGTCTAACAGTTAATAAATATTTTTAAATCTATGGAATAATTTTAAAACCTAACAAACCCCCGTAAAATAATTATTTAAGTTAAAAATCTAAAACTAAAAGAAAGTATTTTTGTTCAATTTTATCGACAACTTTGCTATTGCTGATTAATTTTATTAAAATGCTAGCTTAAAAAGATTTAAACTTTTTATTTAATCTGAATTTTTTCTACTTGTAACTAATGAGCATATTTATTTTTTTTGTAATTCAAACTTTTAGATCAACTGCGTGCGGTTTTTAAAATACTTTATTAAATGTTAAAATAATCGTAAATTACTTCATTAAAATTCTGCTCAAAAATATCTTTAAATATACTCAAACAAAAAATTTTTTGCTCGACGCAAATAGCCCTAGCTACACACAAAATCGCCCTTGGACGCCGTAAAATTCACATCGCCCGACGATTTATCGCAAGGCCTGTATATATATATATATATATATATATATATATATATATATATATATATATATATATATATATATATATATATAGGCCTCGGCGGGAACAAATGAGCACAGAGCTGAGAAAAGCTCTCCTAAAACGAATTTGGGGAGCTGTGCGAGCTGCTTCTCATTTAAATTAGCACTCTTTTGTAATTTTAATTATACCTTCATGAGAAAAATTATACTTTTGCGAGAGCCATAAATTGTTTAAACACACACACACACAGATATATATATATATATATATATATATATATATATATATATATATATATATATATATATATATATATATATATATATATATATAAATTAAAATATTTTTTTTTTGTTCTGTAAAAAGCTGTATTAAATTTGATTGAATTTTATTTTTATTTTATTATTTTAGTCCTGATCAATGGAATATATATCAAATATATATTCAATCATTTCTTGAGTTAAATAATGTTGACCATTCAAATATAACTGATGACAAGTAAGTTTTGTATTAATTTTAGACGTTTTTATTTATATTAAACCTTAGTATTTTTATGATGAATACAATTTTTAATTGTATTCATTATAAACATAAGGATCATTTGAAATTTGAAATAATAATGAAATTTGTTTATTATTATTTCAAATTTCCAAGGCTCTACTACAGTTAAGTAAGAAACTCATAAATTTTTTTCTGTTTTATATTGTCATTATCTATTATTGATTAAAGAAATCAATAGTTAGAAACAAAGTTGATACTTTACTAGACTGCCTAAATATACTCTAATAAGGTGCCATTTTTGTTATTGGATCAAAACCACAAGCTCTAATAAAACACAGAAAAATGCCAACAGCTGTTCTGTCATTTATCTTTTCTTATCAATTTTTCCCTGGTAAAAGATGACCTAGAACCAGGGTTGGCAAAAACCCGGGATTTTAAGCAAAAACCCAACTCAACTGGGTTTTTAGGTGGGTTATTGGGTTTTTGGGTTTTTACTCAAGTTGCGTACAAATCTTTAGTAACAAAGTTTGATAAATTTATAGTTATTTAAAAGCTATTTTTCTTTTTTTAAAGTTATATTTTCTTATACAAAAGCTTAATAATCAGATTGCATTTTTTTCTAATATAAATCTATTGTTAAATTGAGTTGTCTTTTTAGTTAAATTTAAAATAGAATTGAGTTATACGTCTTTATTTGACATTAACATGTCAAAGTATCAATTAAAGGGAAGAAATTAGGCTAGTGGGTGGAATGAAGTGACCATATTAAGAGTAATTATATAGCTATATAATTATAACGAGACCATACTAGACGACCAAACGGTACATGAGTAATTAAACATATTATTATAAACTAAACATATTATTGCAAAGAGAGCATAATTAAAAAAGTAGTGAGAGTTAAGATCCATTTTGATAAATTCAGAAGTAAGAAAAAAGGAAGCGCTAATAATTCCGCAGAAGTATTTAGCGCTACACCAGTTTTAGAGTCAAGACCATCTACATCTGCAGCATCGAACAAGTCTAATCAGTCAGAAGATAATGATCAAGATTACTTAAGCTTTATTAGTAAATCTTCATCAATTGTTTATTTAACTGCAATGACAATGCAAACATCCGTTTCTAAATTTGTTACTTCAACAACAAGTAATCAGAAGAATGAACTGGATTTGCAGGTTAAAAGGTTGTTTTTTTTTCAACAAATATATCATTCAACATATTAGAAAATCTTGACTTGACTACCTAGCTGCCTAAAATATTTAGACCTGGGTGCGAGCCCCCAAATAGAAAACAGATATCTTCAGAACTCTTAGTAAGAAGTAATTAATATAATGAAATGTGATCTTGATGATGATTGTGCTGTTATCCTAATTCAAGATAATTGGAGTACATTTAGTAATGATTTTATAATTGCTCATAGTATCCAAGACGACACAAAGATAATATTTTACAGAGGTTTAAGAAAGCAATCGTTCCATATCATTTTCTGGCCAAATTAACAAATCTAAAATGTAAAGGTAACTATAAAAATTGTAAAAAAATTAATAACTTGCATCTGATCAAGTTATAATAAATACTGATAAAAAATTTTCTTTTAAGTTTACTACTCTTTTAACTTTAGAAAAAACATTGGATAGAAGTTAAAAAGAAGAAGCTGAGGAATAAAAGAACCTTGGATTGAAATCAAGAATAAGAAGCTGAGTTAAAGAAATGGTTAAATAAAGCCTGATTTAGGATTGAGGATATTTAGGAAAATTAGGAATTTTTTAAAAAGAGGAAAAGCAAAAATGCTTGTACGAATTTATATACATTGAGGTCAAGATGAACAATTGCTGATGACTAAATTTTTAGATAATTTTGTTTTAAACCTTGTTTGATTATTACTCCAAATAAAATAAAATCTCATTAATGAATCACTAAACTTCTTGTTTTTAGAAAAATATTTGAGCAGTATCTAATCTTGAGTGTAAATGAAAATTAATTTATGAATAAAAAATTATTATAAATAAAAAGCTTAAGACTAAAAACCCTTTAAGTTGGGTTTTTGGTGGATTTTTGCTCTTGTGTTTTTGGGGGAATTTTTGAGTTTCGGTTATATATATATATATATATATATATATATATATATATATATATATATATATATATATATATATATATATATATATATATATATATATATATATATATATACACACCTAAAGTAAAAATGTGTACCTAGGACTATAAATTGTGCATCTTTAAAAAATGTGCATTGATTGTGTTTTTTTTTTTTAAATTATTTTATCAATTGAATATACCAAAATTTGTTAGCTGCAGAAAATCTGTTGCAAAATAAAAACAGTTCTGGTACTTTTCTAAAGGTTTTAGTGTTTGCAAGATGCAGGCTCATTCATTTTTTAGATACAAGTCATTTTCTTTTTTTCTAATTATTTATAAAACCTTAAAATTTAAAATCTTTATTAAATTTATGTTTATAAAATGTTATGCCTAATGTTTTGTTAGATATGTTCATCAGGACTATAATGCTGATGTAAAGAAAACTCTTGACATGCTTTCTGCTCAAAATCCTTTGATTCGTGGACCACATCTTGCCAAAATAGAGTTCTATAAACATTTTTATTTAAAGTCTGGTATATGTTTTTTCTTCCCATATTATTTACTTCAGTGACTTTAACATTTAATTTCATTTAAAGTTTTTAATAAAGAATTCCACTTGTCGTTATTTAGGTGAAGAAGAATATTTGAATTGCCTTATTGAATATGTTCAAAAATTTGGCTCAAAGCCTTGTTGTTTTAGTGATCTTAGACAGTATGCAAATATTTTAAACTATAAAGAAAAAGAAAAGGTAAAAAATATTTAAATTTTAAAGCTAAAAAAAAAAAGAAAATTCCATCATTTGTGATGTTTTGTTTGATTATTATTTTTTTAAAGATATAATTTTAAATTTGTAATATTATTGGTTTTTACTTTTTTTTTTATTGGTTATATATATATATATATATATATATATATATATATATATATATATATATATATATATATATATATATATATATATATATAAATATATATATATATATATATATATATATATATATATATATATATATATATATATATATATATTAATATTTATATATATATATATTAATATATATATATATATATATATATATATCTAATTTTACTATAAAACTCTGGAATATTAAATTATATATATATATATAAATATATATATATATATATATATATATATATATATATATATATATATGTACATATATATATATATATATATATATATATATATGTATATATATATATATATATATATATATATATATATATATATATGTATATATATATATATATATATATATATATATATATATATATATATATATATAATTTAATATTCCAGAGTTTTATAGTAAAATTAGATATATTTTGAAAATCTAATAATTATATTAAGAAATGTGCCAAGAATAAAAAATATTGATGGGGAAAGAAAAAGCAGTATTTGTTATAAAGTTTTATTGTAAAATTAAATATTTTGAAAATATAATTACATTACAAAGCATGTCTTGAATAAAATATATTGCGTTATTTTTTAAAATATTTAGTAAACTACTTTTATTTTCAGTTTATAGAAGTTTTTAGAGAATCTGTGAAATGTCCAAATGAATCAGCCACTGTAAAAGAAAAGGTTTTTCTTATATACTTATTATTTTATGTATATGTCTAATAATTAAAAAGTTTATACAACGAATTAGACAAAACAATTATTTCCTTTAATCATTTTCATGATGCTATGTTATTACGATTATTATATTTATGTGTGTGTGTATGTATGTTTGTGTGTCTGTGTGGGTATATATATATATATATATATATATATATATATATATATATATATATATATATATATTTAAATATTGGAAGTTTGATATAACAGTATTCAATCATAAAACCTCTTCTGAGTTAGTGTGCCCTTTTAACCACTGTACTTTTACTGCTTAGTTTATTGTTATTTGAGAAAAGTTTTATTTTTAGATGGAATGTTTTATGAGAGAAGCGTGTATCGAGTGCTTTACATGTCAGTTTGGTTTTTATAAAAATATTTCTCGTGATGGGAAATTTCTTAAAGCTAAATCATATATGAAAAAATACAAGGAGGTAATACAGCTTGGTGAGTTTTTTGAGTTTATAGACTAAAAACCTTTTAAATGTTTTAACAATTTATAAAGTAAAAAATGAAAATGCTCACTAGCTGGGTTACTAACAGTGTAGGATAGACTAAGAAAGCAAAAAATAGCTATATGAAAGTAGTGCCATAATTGGTCAGTCCCATTTTTTTACTTAATGTGTATATATATATATATATATATATACTATATATATATATATATATATATATATATATATATATATATATATATATATATATATATATATATATATATATATATATATATATATATATATATATATATATATATATATATATATGTATATGTATATGTATATATTGTCTACAATATTTACTTTGCCATGCACTAACCATTTTTTCATGATATAAGATAATATTTCATGATATAAGATTTCTATTTAATAATCATGAAAAGGAAACCACCTTTTTGTTTATGCAACAACTTCAAATGTTTAAAGTCTTTGTATAAGTTTGTGAACTGAACTGACTAAGGTGAGGCAGAGAAGACACTTAAATGATTTTGATTTTATTCCAAGATTAAGGTTGAACACAGAAAGGAAAATGCAGTTGGGCAACTTGGACTAAAATGAAATTGGGAATGACTTCATCCATTTCCATAAACATTTGTAGAACTTTCAAAAGATATCATTTTCTAAGAAAGACAACATTGATGATATACATGAAGTTATGAATTCCACAAATTTAAGGATAGCCTTCTGAATTTATTTATTGATTCCATAAAATGTGCCTACAAAGGAAAATCCCACTCTACTTGTATCAGAAGGACTCAAAAAATATTTAAATTATGTATTCTTTGGTTTAAAGTCAACTCTAAATTATGATTTCTTAAAATCTATAAACAATTAATTTCATACTTTTTCTATAACAAAATATTACTTCATTATTTTTAATTGTGTTGGTAAATTGTTATTTACAAATCAAAGATTGGCAAGTTTTTGCCAAAACAAAGTGTATTTATGAGTTTTTTAGCAAACATCCATCACCTAAATGTCGCATGATTGCAAAACATACTAATATACCAAAATCTATGATCAAAATCTAGGTCATACTACTCAAAGCATCAATAGAAAGTGGAAGAAAGATTTTACACAATTCTACAAAGATAAAGTTGATTCTCAGTTCTTTAGTAAGGCATCTGAAAAACGTCACAGAGATCTAGCTCGGAAAATTCAAGACTTTATGTACTAATGTCCATATTTTGTTAAAAAAATGTTATAATTAAAGTATTTCATAAGAAAAACGCACCATAAGAAGCTTTGATAGAGAAATTAAAATAATTCAATGCGCAAAGCATTTGTAAAAAATAATAGCTGATAAAAAAATGTTTATTACTGCAGATAATGAAGCATATTGCAAGGCAGATATTGTCAATTATAAATTAAAATGTAATGTGCAATTTGTAGCTGTGGTATGAAATTCTCTTGTTTTATCTTAAAGAAAACCTTGACTGCTGATCTCTACATCTAATAGTGCTTATAAAAAAAACAAATGTCTCTTGGCTGCTTCTCACTATTCTAAGAAGGGCCTTTAGTGGTGCGAACACAATATAGAAATTATTCCTATCGATGCATATTCTCCTAACTATCCAGAAGAACACAAGATTAAAGATTTTTGGAATAAAATTTTATAGCCTTTTATAGTTTTAGATTAATTTTAATTTAAAACAAAAATTTTTTTTCTGGATTTTTCTGGACTGGATTTTTGTGTTTCACCCATGCTTATGCAACAAATAAAACATTTTTTACAAAGGTGAAATTAGATATTTACCAGCTGTTATATTTGATTTAAGCTTTAACTTTTTTTAAATAAAATTCTAAACTAAAGTTAGAACAGAAGTACTCAAGTGCATTTTAAAAAGTTAAATTTTAGTTAAAAAGTTTTATAATAATATAAAGTTGTAAAATTTGTCATTTACCCTGATGGTGATGTCATCCTTAAATCCACACATGTATATATGATGATGTCATACATGCACCATGTATATATTTAAATTTAAATTGAGCACAAAAATGCAAGGCTGAAATAAAATACAATTTTTTTAAATTTTTTTTTCTTTTAATTCAAAGATTGTCTACCTAAACCAAAACCCTTAGTTAATGTATCTACATGTCACAATGTGGCTGTATCAGTTAATTTATGTACACTTTACTTTGCTTATGGCTATATTAGTAGATATAGCCGTATTACACTATGATTTACTCTATATAAAGCAGTTTTCGTCCTTTTGTATTTTTGTTGGAAATTAGATCAAATCCATGTATTAAAATATCATACTAGCCTTTGTTAATGACATTGTAGGAAAAAAAAACCCAATTTCTGAAGTAAAATTACAAGATTTATAAATCTGAGAAAAATGGACTTGACAAAACATCTGATAAAAGCTTGATTTTTTGCAATAAAGTTCTTTGGTCTCTATAGAACATTTTTTTGGAAAATAAAATAAAATAATAATTAAATTAGGCAATAGCCATTGCAAGAACTGTGAGGAGAAAACCAGATTGTTCACAAAAGGAATAAAAGTTTCCATCCTTTCCAGAATCCAGGAGGTTATAAAGGAGGCAATTGGCAGAGACAAAACTCATTAGCCCATCGATCATCATGAAAAGAATTCCAGTCATTCCTAAGGCAGTAATAAGAAGTGGGAGTATAAGATATGTTCAGATTCACCTTGTAGAAGAATTAGAGATAAAAGTTTTAATGGTGGTAAATGATTAGGGTTGTCCGGACAAACAAGTTTCAAAATTAATTATCTAAATACAAAATTGAGGGAGACAAAAATGTTAAATTTTAAAGCCAGCAGGGCCAGTGATACTTCAGCCAAGCCATTAAGTGTGTTTAGTATTAAAATCATCAGTATTGGCTGATGGGGTAAATAGAAAGAGGTTGGTCAATTTGATCAAAAACTACATCAAAATGAGTGCAGTTTTGGGAAGAAAGAGAATGGTAAAGAACAAAAATAAACATGATTAATTGACCTATTCAAGTTAAAGCACTTAAAGGATTAGTCTGAAGATTTGAGTCTATATCTTTTGAGTTTCAAAAGATATAGGTGAGTTGATACAAATGTGCCAAGACATGTGACTAATGCAGTGTCTGCATATAAAGAATTCTTTAAGTTCCATTAAGATATAAAGATGTAACTGCTGAATTTAGATTACTATCATAATATATGACATGATAATGATAATATATGAGTAACATAATTAAAATTTTTGCATAATTAAAAAAAATGCAAGTAGTAGCATAATTAGTGAATTTGTTTAAGTTTACTTAACTACGAGGCAATCAATATTTGAAAATATTTTGATTTTATTCAACTAAGCTTATAACTAATTTACTAATTATAAACTAATTTGCATAAGTACCAAGTAGTGAATTTTGCACATCACCATTAATATTCATGTAACTGCTATAGATGGTGCATATACTGTCATATATAGACATCTCTAGCTTTTACTCAACTAAGAGGCAATCTGTATTTTAAAGGCAGAATTAACTTCTCCTAGTTTTTGTTTAGAAAAGCTACAAGGCAGTTAAACATAAGGCAGGTTATATTATATTACATATTACTATTAGCAAGGTGATTATGATAATTGTACTACTGAATGGTATCATACTGGAGCAAACTTTTGAATATCAAACAGTAACTTTTACAATTACTGCAACATTTTACTTGAACAAATTACTGGAACTACCCTAACCCTGACACAGGTTTCATTTATAAAAAATATGATGTAAATATTTTGCCTAAAACATGTTTTTTTTCTTTTCACAATTGAGAGACATTGGAAAGTATTGGGCAGTTATTAACAAAAAAAAACAAAAAAAAAATTAAAGAACTGAAAGTTTCATGGTAAAAAAAACATCAAATAGTTTTGATGAATTAAATTATTATTTAGTTCTAAATAAAAACTGATGAGTACCTTTTTAGTAGTTTTTCTACTTTCACATTTATTTTGTGCACATGCCTAATTGGAAAAATTTAATACCAAAATTTATATGAAGTTTTCAACATGTTTTTAAAAAATTAATTTTGGTATTTCTTTTTTTTATAGGAAGTGATGCTAGTTTTACAGAGCCACAATATGGAGATGTTATAGTCTTGTTAGCTGCTTATCTTCTGCTGGATATTAATAAAAGTAGTGGTAAATATCTCATTAGTATTTTAATGAAATGTAATTTAAATTTGTTTATTCAGAATTTAGAAATTTGTATTAAATATTTAATACAATATAAATATATAAAATTCTAATTAAGTAGTGTGACACCAGGCACTACTATGCTGACAGCTTAAAGACACTGTGTCCATTATTTGGTTATTTTTCATCAATATCTTATTGATGGAAAACAAAAGTCAATTGCAGAATTTGTTTTGGCTGCCTTTGACAGAAGTGCATTTAACATATGAAATTATGTAGATGTATTTTATCATTTAATACATATTCATTTTTACTTTTATAAATCTTATAAATACACCACATTTTTAAGTATACTCTTACTTAATTTTGTTTTGCTTTTGTCATGTAATTGATAAAAATCAAAATATGTAAAATGTGTATTATGTATGATATGTAATGTTTTAAAATGTTTGTGTTATTATATAAATGAATTATTATATGTTTGTGTATATTTATTTATGTTTACATTTTATTATATTCTTATATTATTCATTAGTATACTATATAGTCTTTATTTATGTATCATTTAGCTTTACACCTGGTTTTTTAATAACTGGTAATAGCAAAAACTTTCATTATGTTTAGGTGATGATAAAATGATTTGGCATGTTTTGCTTTTTATTGAAGAAGCACTTGAAAGTAGTCCAACCAGTGCTCAGTATAAATTATTGTTAAACTTTTTGTATTCAAATCTTGGTAATCCTTAGTTATTGTTTTTTTTTTTATAATTCTTATTTTATTAATTTTACTCACCGTAAACAAAAATGTTGTATATAAAATTAAATTTAGGTGTATACAGTGTGAGCAATTTTTTTTTGGACGATCTTGAAATTAAATATGTTATGTTTGATTCCATAGGGTAAATATTGTCTTATTAATTTTTTCTTATTTGCTTCTTAATTGTTGTTTAAATATCATTTTCAAATTAGTAAATTTAACACTTGAGTGTGTTTAGTTATGTATAAAAACTAAAGCTAGTTTTATAATCCCAATTGTTTGGGATTTTCTTTGTCTTTGCTACCATTTTAGCAACCTCAAAGATGCAATTACTAAAGCTTCATTTCTTTTGTAAGAATAGTCAGAGTTATTGTGTTTGTTTTTTTTCAAAGAAGTATTTAATTTCTCAAAATAATATTTATCTTTTGTAGCATGCGTTGAATGAAAAAATTTGAAGATGAGCTTTTAATTTACTTCGTCGCAAACTGTTTTTTTTTATAGTTTTGTTACAGATAAGACACAGTGGTCATTTTTTTTCATTTTCATTTTTTCTTTGTCATTTATCACAACACTAATAAAACTAAAGCTAGCATAATCTTGACTATATTTTCTTTTTTTAAATGTCATATTTCAAAATCTAAATTCAAACATAATCTTCACTATATTTTCTCTTTTTAAATGTCATGTTTAAAAATTTATTGCATATTGTAAATATGTTCAGAAATTAAAAATAAAATTACCTTTTAATTTTTGAGATTAAATAGAATATAAAAATAAATTATTGAAAATTTTGAAACATAAAAATTAACTAATAATAAAATTTATAGTTTATTAATCCTAAAAAAGTAAATTTATAAATTTTAAATTAAGTTTTTATTTCTTTATGGCTAAGCATTATTTTCTTAGCGCTATAAAAATATTTTTCAAGCAGTTACAAACTTGTCATTATAATGCTTTTTACAATGTTGCAGTACCATTAGTACTCAGGCCTCTGCTTTTAATTAGGTTATTCAAATTTTTTTTTTAATATAAAAAGTTACCCATCAGATTCCTTTTACTCTTTTTAAAGGACTCTTTAAGGAAGGAATGCTGATAAATTGACCAGGTATTTTTATACTTACACTTCTTGGAAATGAAAATCAACTTTTGGAATCTATTCATTCCAGCTTCTGTGGCATGATCAAAACCAGCTAAAACCTTCCTTTGAGAAGGCTTTATTTCATAAAAAAAACTCTTTATAAAGAAGTATTTTGTTATAATAAATAATTGTAATGCAAAACTTCATCATAAAAATGGCATTAGCTGCTTTTTCTGTTATTCTCCATTTTCAAACTTACACTGAAAAGTCTTGTTTATCTTATCTCTCTTTGGTATGGAAAGTTCTGGTTTTGAATATTTTTTTCTAAAGCAAAAAATTGCTCGAACTAGGAGAGGTTTCTATTTATTATAGGATGGTCATAAAGATAAATCAAATTTTTGGTGCCTTTACACTAATTTGAAATTTATGTCTTGGGTACTGACATCTATTTAGCTGCTTCTAGTCAATACCAAAAAAAAAATGATGGTATGCAAATGACAAGTTATAGCAGAATGATAAATATGTAGTCTGCTTTCTATTAGAATTTTTTTATTTCACTGGTTATTGGTAATTATAAAATGAAATAATTATCTTCTAAATCTAGGGAGATTATAGATTAGAGAGTTCTTGTTTTTTTTAAATAAATAAAGCAAAATAAAAAATACATATTTAAAAAGCTTCTAAATAATCAGTAATGTCAGCGTTCAATTTATTAACTTGAAAGATTCCATCTTTGTTCCAATGCTTCAAGGATCTACAAGAGGTCTGCTTTTTATTAAAATCTGGTCTGCATTTTATTAAAATCTGTGCATTTGAGTAGTTTTGTTCTTGCTCTTCAACATATTTATTTTTGAAGTTTCATTAAAGTGTTTAACAAGAAAAGTAATAATGAAGAGAAAAATAATTCCTGTCAATGTTGGCAGATTTGAAATATTCTGTATTAATGGTATTATTAATTATATCTCTAAGTATAACAGTATTATAAAACAAACAAATAAATGAAGTTCTCCTGTCTTTGAATATTTTTTATTTGTTTTTATATTTCTTGTTTTATCTTTTTTGTTTGTTTACATTTTTAATTTTTTTTTCTTTTCAATTTTTGTATAAATGTACACACATCAAAATTGGAAGTTCAATTTTCTTTTGTATTTGCTACTTTTTTTATCTCTTCTTTTCACTTTTTATTGCTTTGTAGTCAAAACTGACTGTTATAAATTTTTTAACTTCTTTGTCTAATTCTTTTGAACAGAATAATAACTTTAGAATTCTTTTGAACAGAATAATAATTTTAGAATTATTTTGAACAGAATAATAACTTTAGAACTGCATTAAACAATTGTCTTTGTTTTAAAAGAAAAATATTAGTTGACATTAAACATTCACACATTCTAACTACAATCAATGATTCCTCCTACCTTACTCCTTTTTTTTTCTTCTTTCCTAAATCTTATTATTTTTCAAGAATCTTTCTTTTTCAATTATTAACTTTCTTTTTTTTAAAATTTTGTGTCACTTCTCTCTTCTTTCATTATTCTTTCCTTCACAATATTAATTGCACAGTAGTTAGTAAAGTTATAAACTTGATCAACAAAAAGCCATGCTTGTTAGTAATGTTATTTATTTAGTGATTAATATTGTGTTTTTTACGATGTAAAGTTGTAGATTTTATATTTGAATTCTGTTTGTTTTTGTTTTTTAAATGATTTTTTCTTTAGCATATTGTCCTTATTTTCTTTAGTATATTGTTCTTATTTTCATTAATTTTACTTTTATTATTTTGATTTATTATACTATTTTTGTATTTTTCTTATTGCTAAAACTACATTGTGTGTCTGTTTTTTTTAGTTATTGTGAACTGTAAATGAAATAAATGTGAAAATAGAGAAATTATTTTAAAATGACTCCAGACCTCCATGTTATTTATACTGTGGATTTAAAAATGATAGACTTCTAGACTGTAAATGTCATAGAACTTTTTTTAATTATATAGTAAACAATGAAGTCTTCATGATTTCTTAGTTATATGCTTTATAGTTATAGCTAGTTACAATGAAAAAAGTTTATATATAATAATTAGAAGGTAAAGTAATACAACACTTAGTGTTATTATTAATTTTTTTTTTTTTTTAAAGATATTTATTTACAAGTTTTGCTTATGTTTCTGGTCAATTTCAAGCAACTAACAAGCTGTATGATTTATCAATTAATTTTTTTAAGTCAAGCCAAAAAGAAGTAAGTAAAAAACACTTTTATTCAAATAAAAAAGTGACATTTAATATTATTCTATTTAATAATATAGTTATCAATTGTTTATTATTTTTTTAAATTTAATTTAGTGTCCTGAGCAGATTATCTCATCATACAAATATGGTTCTTTTAAGCAGGTACTCCATTATGAACTATTTGTACACTGCACAATCTACTGCCAATAAATAAATATATATATATATATATATATATATATATATATATATATATATATATATATATATATATATATATATATATATATATATATATATATATATATATATATATATATATATATATATATATATATATATATATATATATATATATATATAAATAGTGTTATTAAATTATGTGTTTGAAGAAATTATAATTATCATATGCATTAAATAATATTATTTTTACATTTTGTAAAGTATAATATATATTATTATATTATGTAATAAATAGATATAATAAATAAATGAAGTAAGTGTGAAATTAGAAAAACAAGTAATAATTTAATTCAAAAATAAATAATTTATCTAAGATAAAAATACATAATAATTGTTTATTTTTTTGAATTATTTAGTTTTTTTGAAATATACAAAATATTTTAAATTTATTTTTCTGTGAACATCTATTAACTTTTTGTTTGAAGGTTGCCATTAGTTTTTACATGGAATGACAATCTACTCGATGCTTTTTTTGTTTTTTCAATAAAATCTTCAAATTTTTGCGTCTGCAAAGTTGTTTTTTTTTGTTCGATGTTAATTTTGTGTCAAGTTTTGGTCTTTTTAATAAGTCATTTTTTGTGTATTTTGAATTCATCTGCTTTTTCTTTTCCTTTATTTGGAAATTTAATAGCCTTGTTTTTTCTTGAGTTTCAGAATAATTTATCACCATTTTATGATTTTATATGAATATATATTATGTAAACTTTTTCTACAAAACTAAAACAAAATATCTGTTTAATCAATGCTGCTACTGATACTGCTAATCAATCAAATTTATATTTTTGTGTATAACTATTTTTGTTATACATTTCAAAAGTTTATATCTTATAAGTTCGTATTTTATTGTACCTTATAGTTTGCTTTTTCCTGATCAAAGTCTAGACTGGCTTGTTTAGCTGTCAATTAAAACTAGAAAAATAAAATATTTTATGTATTAGATGTTAGTGACAGGATTTAGTAATATTCTGCCAATAGTTTAGTTGATCACTTTTTAAAATCTTTCATTATTATTTCTATTGTTACATGAGTAAAATCATAGTATACTTTATTTGCTTATTTATATGTCAACATTTTAATTTTTGTTTTTTAAAAATTTAATTTGTTTACATATATGAATGCACGCATACATGTGCATGCAAACAATACATACATGTGCATGCACACACATATATGAATGCACACATACATGTACATGCACACATACATATATGAATGCACACATACATGTGCATGCAAACAATACATATATGTGCATGCACACATACATATATGAATGCACACATACATGTGCATGCACATATACATATATGAATGCACACATACATGTGCATGCACACATACATATATGAATGCACACATACATGTGCATGCAAACAATTATTTGAAGCAATAAACTAGAAAACACCTGTATTATTGCTTTCTGATTTGGAATACATTTTTTAGATACCTGACATGTCAAGTTTTAAACTTCGATTAAAAAATTCATTGCACTTTGCTTCACTTAGTGTTGAGAAACTATATCTTCGACTGCTATGGCAAATACACAAGTAAATAGCTATAAAGTTTTGTATTTTTATATTTCTTAACATTCTGTGTTTCTAGAGTATTTGTTTACTATAATATGCAAGGCCTAATTTTTTGTAGTTCAATTTGTTTATCATGATCAATTGATTTATCATTTTTAATTATTCTTTAATTTTAGAGTAATTATTGATTAATTTTTTTGAAACTGACTATTGATTTGTTGCATTTTTATAGTTTTTCTGATGCTGAGAGTGATTTATTGAATTTAGAGAAATCAGTTGGACCTTTTAACATATCAAGTAAATATTTATTTTTAAAGAATAATTGTCTATGTTTGCTAAACAATATTGTTGCTAAGTTCTGTTGTTGCTATGAGGTCATAAAAGCTATTTACTATTTGTTTTACTTAGTTAAAGAACTTTTTTTCTACTTTATATCTTTATATCTTGTTGTAAATTTATTTATAAAAATTATATGAATTACACAAATGTTTGCAGTTTATATGTTTTACAAAATGTTTGACATGTGTCAACAACAAGACTGTAAATTTAAACTAATTGTTTTAAACTAAGATATCATTTTCAACTTATAATTGTATCTTTCTTGTATTGTATGTAAAGGGTATTACTTAAAAGTTTTCAAAAGAATTTGTCTTTTTTATCATTAAAAAAAACAAACTGTTTTAGATCTATACTAGGAGGACAAATGGGATTACATGATAAAAAATGGCCCCTCAGTGTTAAGGAATGTTTTTTTTTTAAAGCTGCAAATACGTATAAACATGCTCAGGGTTGGCATTAAAAAACCTGCCCAATAGAACACGCTTAAAAACCCCATAAAACCTAGGCAATCTAGATTTTATTGGGTTTTTCTTGAAGATATTTTATAATTTTATGAACTATTATAACCAACATTAACATTATAACTATTATATTATTAACTAAATTAATTATTAACTATTATTTATTATTATTAACTAAATTAATTATTAACTATTATTATCAACTATTATAAGCAACAGTAGCAGCTATCAGAGCAGATTTACTAACATTTGAATCATTATTCAGAAATACATTATTACAATTTTTGTTCAAATATTTTCACAGATTGAGATTTTTTCATCTGATATGTTCACCTCCCATGGCTGAGAAGGCCACTTATATCGGGGAGGCTACCTTATTGCGGTTACCTCTGTCAACTCTTTAACTCCAAAATATGAACCTTCATGAACAAGGTCGCTATGAAAAAGCAAGTTTGTTCATTTGAATTTCAAGTTCAAATTCAAAGTTCAATTGAAACTTCAGTTACTTCCTCAGTTACTTTTAAATCTAATAAGTCAATACATATAGGTTTAATATGAAAATTTTTTTTACTATAGTTTAAATTATGTTTAAAAATCTTTTTCAAAATAATTTGAGATTTTTTTTATAAATTATTAAATAACTATAAATATTTTATGAATTATATTTTAAATATAGTTAAAGTTATAAAATTATACTAGTTTTCAATATCATTAAACAAAAACAAAAACAAAATTTTACAGATAGGAAATAAAAATAAAATCCAAAAAAAACTCAAATTTATCCAATAAAACCCAAAATTAAACCAAGCCTAAGCCGTTGATTATAGGGCCCGCCAATAGGCATTAAAAAAATCTAAATAAAAATATACAAACACATTTGTGTTTAAAGCTTTCTAACTAAAATTTATATTAATGAGCTTATATAACTCTTATCTAATTTTGAAATACCAAATAGTGCTAAATAAATCAAGCCAAGGCATAGCTGCACTCAGAGTTTTGCATTTTGTATTTCCTTAGCACAGAAATTTACTCAGAATTATTTTATTAATTTATATATATATATATTTTTTTAACATTTTAAAAGCAAATGTGTTCCAAAGCAATTATGTTCTGTCAGGTTTTTTAAAGTTTATAATTTTGTTATTTGCATATATTTAATAGGTGATTCCAATTTTTGCGATAATCGTGACCTTGATCTTGTTACAAATTTTGATTCTATTTCAAAGTAAGTAACTTTTTACCATTAATATGTATATATTAGTTTCAAAAAGATTTACTTGACAATTTTTTATATATGCATCCAACACCATAATACCTTATTTTTTAACAATTAATAATGATATAAAGATATCATCTTGATATAAGACTTTGCTGTATTTAGTGAAGCTAATATAATATTACATAATGAGTTAGAAACCATTAATATATTAGGCGAAAAGCTTTCAATGATCATAATCTAATGAATTTTAAAGTTTTAATTAAAGATGATTAGTCAAGAGATAAAATTTTGTTATCGTCAGCCAATATAAATTTGTGTTAGTCAAAGAGAAGATTTTACAAACTGTACTAAAAAGGATTGGATACTAGCTGACAAACTAAAATAAATGGCTATTTTTATAGCCACAAATTTAATACATGTAAATTAAAAAACATGTTTTCATTTTGGGTTTTGTTTGTTTTCAACAAGCACATTAATTTTGTGGCAATGAGATTCAGTTTCTTGAAATTTTTTTTGCAAATTTTAAATCTTTCAAAACTTTAAAATTTGTAACTCGAAAAGAGTTTAAATATAACTTTATTTAATATAATGGTCAACTTTTATTGGCAATTGGTTATTAAATGAAGAAGTACTACCTATATTTTGTTAATGTCTTTGTAAAACTGACATCCAAAAGGGACAATAGAATTTAAATTGGTACTTGTACCATCAAATGTAATACTTTTGATAAAATGTTTATATGTTAAAGCCACATTAAAAATGTTTTCAATAAAGCATGTTAAAAATCTTGCTTTAACTTTGATTTGATAAAATATAACCAATGAGTGTTTTCTAATGTCTTTGCTTTTAATTTTTTACTTCATTGTTGTATATGTGACCTTTTGGTTTAAATTATTTTTTTGCTGGGTTTATTTATAGGAGGATAAACATCAAATTTGTTATTGTTTTTTTGACAAAGGATCAAATGTTTGTAATGGATTTGCAGGATTTGGATTGTGGGAAGTTTTTTTTTTGTCTTTTTTATAATTACAAAAAGTAAAAAATTGATGGCACACTATTGAATTTTAAAATGGGCTGGATAATCAACACATGCAGTATTTTTTATCTGAAATACAGTAATTTTAATCTGATTCTATAAAATAGTTGATCTAAACATACAAGTATCTGTATGTTTAGATGAAAGAAGATTTTATGTTTCAAAGCAACAAATCCATCTTTTACACAATACAGAATTCCTAATAAAAAATTTATAAATGATTTTTTGCCACCTTTTACATATCTTCTAGAACACCCATATGCTGCACAAGATAGAAATATTTTATTGTGATACTATCAAAAGGAAAAAATTTAAATAAAAACAAGTTAAAACAAATGATGTCATGAAATTAACTGTCTATATTATGTGATTAACTATTTCTGCCAGATATAATAATAGCTGATTATAAAAGTAAACAAAAAAATTGACTTTACTTGCAACATGTAGTTAGACATCTAGTTATTTATAATACATCATTTTCAATTGAACACTTTAAGTGCACCTGTTGTTGTTTATAAAAGAAGTAACTTTAAGTCAAACTTTTAGATTTCTTATAAAGACCCACTCTTCAAGTTCTTTTTCTGAAATTGGTCAAGTATTTGATTTTTTTCTTTATCTAATTAAAAAAGTTGAAATTTATTTTTTATTGTTTACTAATTTTTTTATTTATACTTTTTGTTTTTTTTTGTTTTGATATAAACAAAGTATAAGCAATTTTTTTTTTCAAGTTTTTTATTTGTTCTGTAATTAATTCTCTAGCTTTTCAAATAGCTATTTGTTTTAACTATTAGTGAGAACAAAGCTATTGTAAATACAAAAAAAATCAGGCTATTTAAGAAGTATTATAACCTAAGTATTAGGTTTACTTTAGACAACAACGCCCTGTTCTTCAATGATTTAAATTATCCAAAGATATACTATTATTATTATTATTATTATTATTATTATTATTATTGTTAAATAATAATTATTATTATTAAATAATGAGTACTTAATCTGAATAGTCTTGTTTTAATTTTTTTCATATTTTTTTTAGCAATAATAAATTCATAAAAATACTTAATGTTTCCAATGGTCAAATACTGACCATTGAAAACATTAAATAAATGCCTTTGTTGCAGTTAAAAGCAGTTCATTAAAAAAAAATCAAAGTATTGCAATGAGCAACAGCTGTTCAATACATAGATGTTCAACATAAAGATGGGTACTCTGGTTATGTCTTCTATTTTGTAAACAAGACCTATGGACTTCAATAAGACTTTAAGCTGCCCAAAATTGTTACATCTTAAGTCTTGCAATACAGGAAGATGAGAACACATAATTGCAGCTGTAATACTGCAAGTAATACCAAAATTTAAAACAAATAAATCACTTCAAGTTTTTAATACTAGTGATGCAGCAGATGTTCAAAATGGAGTTTAAGTGAGACTGGATGAACAAAGCAAGGAATAAGATATCTTGGGTTTACAAATACATTTTTGCCAAACATCCGAAAATGCCACAGGTATTAAAAAATGATCATCATGGTTCTCATAATTCAGTTGAATTAATATCTGCTGCTATTGACAATAAAATTTAAATTGTTGAGATACCAGTATATATTGTTTCCATTGGTTGCAGATCATGACAATAAAATTTAAAATTTGACCCCAAGAAACTACAATAGTTATTATCATGATTTAATGAATATTTACTTTGTTACAGTCAATAAGTCAACACTCTGTTACAGTCAATAAGTCAACTGTTACAGTCAATAAGTCAACACTCTGTTACAGTCAATAAGTCAACTGTTACAGTCAATAAGTCAACACTCTGTTACAGTCAATAAGTCAACTGTTACAGTCAATAAGTCAACACTCTGTTACAGTCAATAAGTCAACTGTTACAGTCAATAAGTCAACACTCTGTTACAGTCAATAAGTCAACTGTTACAGTCAATAAGTCAACACTCTGTTACAGTCAATAAGTCAACTGTTACAGTCAATAAGTCAACACTCTGTTACAGTCAATAAAGTCAAAACTTTTTGGATTATTCAAAAATACTTGGGATCAACCATTCACTGCTAACATTATTTCTGGTTTTAATTCATGTAGTATATATTTCCTTAAAAAACTTCTATTCCATCTGAGACAGATCTCTTGCTCTACAACAACATAATTGTTATTTTTTTCTTCATATTCAATATAGAATATGTAGGGTGCGAAAGCATATGGTGGTTTTAAGCCTCAAATCTGTTGATTATGAGCAGAGTGTTGTACCACTAATCTACAACTGTATTCCACCATATACCACCATATACCATACCCTATGCTTGACACATTTTTGCAATTATTAACAAAAAACACTATTTGATACTATTGATTTCACATATGTTGACAGTATTTTGCATAAATTGACACATGTCTATTTCACATATTTGTTATTTATAATCAAAGTATATCATTTGCAATAATTTATATAATTTCAATGTTTATTTGCACATGAGCAACATGAACATTCTCCCACAAAATTTGAAACATTTTACATTTCAGATTTTTATAAAATTCTTTTTTTTAACCCTAATTTTTCTTCTAATTTTTGTAATATTTGTTAAGCTAAACAACAAAATTTAAATAACAACATAAAAATGTTTGTATAAGTATAAACAAGTATTTAAATTATGATTTTATCTGTTCTAATGTTTTATCAAAGTTTATCAAGTTTCCTATTGTTTCAATTTAATTTAATAATGATTTTAGAGAATCTTTACAAGAAATGCGTACAACATCTTTTCGTCAGAATGTGAGAGAATTTTTAGTTGTTGTTGTTTTGTTTTTTTTTAATTTTCTTTTTTGTAATTTTCTTTTTTGTAATTTTTTATTTATTTATTTGATAAATGAACTCATAAGTCATCAGTTTAAAAGCATACTCCATATAATGTTTTTTAGATTATTCCTCTGCTATTCAACCCTTTGCAACCCAATAGTGTTGCCCTGGTTTTATAACTTTTTTATTTTCTATAATTTTCCTTGTCTTTTCTAGGTTTTGTGGTTACGTCTTAGATATCTAGTTTTACAAATAGTATCATATTGTTTTGGTAACATAGTAATACCTAATGCGCTAAATTCACAAGCTTTAATATCAGAAATAACTGAAATTTCCTCGGAAGCAGAAAAATCTGATTTTTCATGGGTAATTTTTTTTCAAGTCTATTTTTTATTGTTTTAAATGAAGATTATGAGCTTTTACTTTTCAAGCAAAAAATTAAGGAGAATGGGGAAAATTTCAATAAATTTTTTATCAAAAATAAAACCCAAAAAATCGTTATTTTTATTATTTTAAAAGTCAAAAAGAATATGGAAAAAAAAACATTTTGTTTTCTCGCGTAAAATAAAACAGCAAGATCAAAAGTTCATTCATTTAAATAATAAATTTGCATGATAGTTATTAAGACTAAAATTTTTTTGTTTTTGTTCATATATTATCAAAAGCAGTTTACTCTTAATTGCCAAAAAACAAAAGTTAACTTTACTCTGAATGGATATTTTGAATTCGTTCTATTTTTCAAAAAAGCAAACTTTTTATATATTCCATTATTATAAAATTTTGCAACAAGTTTTTAAAATTTAGTTTTGCAACGGTATTAATTTTTTTTAAACTAATGTTCAGTGAGTAACCGAAGGACGGTTACGTCATGTAAATATGTAAAAAAACAATTTTTTGTTGTCTTGAAGAAAAAATGAGGTAGCTAAAACAAACTGAAAATTATTTATTCTATTTTTATAAAATTACTTATACTACTGCATTTAAAGCTGAAATTTTTTCTTCTATTTTTAATAAAAAAGCAAAAGAAAAATTGAAAAATAAAATTAGTTTTTGGGCACTTTTTATTGGGTGCTCATACCGCTCCAGCGGTACTAAAACAGGTCTGGGTTCATTCCTGGTTTACATAATCTAAGTTACATCTTTTGCTTCTTAGTTATAACTTTTATGTTCTTAAATACATTTATTTACAATTGGAGCAATTTTCAATTTGCAATTCAAATGGCATGTTATGTTTTTTAATTTAAATTTCTTGTTCAAAATTACACTATGAAAAGGTGTAGAATAACATGAAAAACTGGAATACTATTGAAAATAAGCAGATTAGCAGATATAAATGAATTTTTTTGTTAATTAAATATATATATTTTTTTTATTTAGAATGATATTCATACACCTCCTCCATGTCATATAGGGTTTTATATAAATCAAAACTATGCAAGTATATTTATTTATTTACTCGAATGTTACATGACAGTAAAAAATTTAATAGGTAATTTTTTTGTTTTTTCTTCTATTGTACTTTTAGTTAAAATCTATATGGTTTTAAATTTTATACAATGCTGAAATGGTTTATATACTGAATCAAAATGTGGCATTTTATGTGATATACTGATTATTTGATTTCTTAATGATAGAATTTAGTTATACAAATTCTATTTAGATACAGATACTGATTGCATGGAAAAGGTGCAAGAAAAATTAAGTTTGACTTTGAAAATATTACAAGGTAAATTTAATACAATTAAAGTTTCTTTTGACATTTTGTAAAAGTTACAGTTAAAAACAAAACGGGCGATTTGATTTAATTGTATTGTCACCAAATAGCTGAAAATCTCATATCAACTAGTCAAGAAAATCTATACAAATGCACTACATTACAAAATAAAACATATCTAAAATGGCATTGTTACAAGAAAAAATATTTTGTCTTAGTTTAAAGATGAATGAGGTTGACATTTTTTCCCACTTCTTAAAATAAGGGCAAGGGGCCAGGTCATACCAAAAGATTGGATTACTATAGCGGGCCTTCCATAGTGACAATACAAAATTTTTCTTTTTAACAAGTTTCTCTATTATAGAATTAATGGCTAAGGTTTGTGGTTTTAAATATAATAAAAAGTAAAATGGCATGCCAAACCATTATTTTTTAAAGAGATTTCTTCAGTTATATTTTCATAAATTTGATTTCAAAATGATATCCTGGTATTATTTTGAAATTTAATTTGACATAAGTTTTGTTATCCATAATAATACATGGGATTTTTTACACAATATTTTGGATAATTTTCCTGCGCATCTTGCCACTAAATTTTCTTTATTATTGCGATATATAGCTTCATAAATCTTTATAAAGTATTTTATCTTGATAATTCTCTCATACCTTTTCTCTTTTACTTTACTTTTAGAACATTCAAATAATGTATTTTAGTTGCAAAACTAGAATTTTTGACACATTTTGGTGTTTTGTTGTCATTTTAAAATTTGACTTATATTGAATTACTAATATATGCACAATTTTTATGATCAATTTTTGTAGCAGCTGTAAAAAATAAATAAAAAGATTCATATTAAATGTTAAAATGTTAAGTGTCAAATTAAAAGTGTTGAAGTGTCATATTAAATGACACTTTGATTATGACAAATAGCGAAAATGAATGAAGTTTTGTAGGTTATAGGATAATTTTTTTTTTTAGTTAATATTATATATTGTTTGTTCATTGATTATTTCGATATTAAAATAGTCAAAATGTAAATATTAAAAATGCTGAATTAGCTGACGCTATGTCTTTGATTGACAAGTTTGTCTCTAAATTAAGTTTTATTTAAATTTTTGAGTGAATCTGTTAATTTTGTATAAATTCTTACAAACAATAACTTGTTTTGATTTTTTAATTATGCATTTGTTATTTAGATGTTTCAAATATACTTTATTGTACCTAGAAAACGTGACGGTTATCTTTTCAACCTTGACAATATCACATGGTGATAATAAAATGTTTAATGGAAAGACACTTCGAAAAATTGTCTTTTATATTGAGGTTTGACAGAATTTTTTAAAATGTTTAGTATATATGTTGTATTTTATATGTATGAATATTATCTTCAAGAGATAAGTTAATTAAATTAGTTTACTCAGTCCAGCTAATGCATGCTCTGCATAATACAGAAGTTTTTTTGGTTTAAGAAAAAGCATATTATTCAATTTTTTTAGTACAGATGAAAATTATTTTTCAAATATTTATTAAAATATAATATTTATTTTATCTATAATTAAAAATTTTGAAAACTTATCAAGGATTAACTATATTATATAGTCTCATAGTTAATTTATTTAATGTATTCATAGTTAATATAATTTTTTAATTAATGTTAGTTTTTAGTTTATACATTGACATTTAGTACACCTTGTGTCACTTTTGGTACACCTTGTATCACCTTAATTTCTCCATTTTAGTTTTGAAAATTTAATCTGTCAAATTTTAGTTTTTAGAAGGAAAAAAAAACATTTTTAACCCTGAAAAAATCTAAAATAAAAAACTTAAGGTTGTTTTTTTTTTGATAAGTTTATTAAGGCAAGAGACAATTGAGCACACCTCCAGCCTTCAATAAAGTGTAGTGGTGTAGTGGTATACCACTTGCTTCATAAATAAGAAGTTCTGAGTACGATCCCTACCACATCTCTGGTAGTATATCTCTGCCCTCAACCTGATTTTTAAAGCAGCAGTCTTGTTTTTTATGTTTTAGAGTTAAAGAGTTGTGAGAGAGTTGTGACCATAATAAAGCAGCCTCCTCGACTGTAGTGCATTTTGGTCTTCAAAATGTCACTCAATAACAAAATAAACAAAATACCCTTGAAAAATGCTCCCAGTAACCAATTAGTTAAAAGAACAAAAAATTTCTTGTTTTTAATAGGATCATAGCTAATACTTAGATTTCAAATATATTTTAATATCATCAAAATATATTTTGGAGCTCAAAAGCTACAGTCATATAAAGTGTAACTCCTTTCATTTTTTAAACATTTTACCATTTTAGAAAAAAATTTCCAAAATAAAAAAAGAATGGGATTAAATAAAAAATGTTAATGGTTTTTATGTTAAAAGAAAATGTTAGTTGTTTTTATGTTAAAAGGTTTTAAAAAATTTGGTTTAAAAAAATTTGAAGTCAAAGAAACTTAAACTCAAGACCACTAAAAAAATTAATTTTAAATTTTTTGAAGTCATCAGTTTATTTTCTAAATTCTGATTGACTTTTTTAGACATGCAACCTAACATTGATAATATTGTCTTCAATTAAAAGTTATCTGAAGCAACAGTTTGCAAGAAAAGGAAAAAAAAAGAAAGAGGTAATTTATTATATATAATACATGTTGTTGTTTTTTTTTTTGTTTTTTTTTGTGTCTTCTTTGGATAATTGAAATTCTTAATAAAAAAGAATTTAGAAAAAGAAACTTTTTATAAATTAAAGTTACCATACAGGATTTTTCCGGATATCCAAATAGTTTTCTGAAAAATTAAAAATGTTTTTTTGTAACTTTGTCATCAGTAAAGGTATCGTTTATCACTAACTCAATGCGATATTTAATTAGGTTAGGCATTATTTGTATGGGTGTACAACTAATTTTTTTTTATGTTAGTTTTTTATCTCTAATTAATTCATTTGATTTGTATGCACTCAACTATGACCTCAGCTATAACAGTCAAATTATGTACGCATTGATGCATTTCATTCATGAAACTTTGAAAAAATTGAAAAACGGTAATATTTAAAAAATAACAAACTGCTTTGAAATAAAACTTTTTAAAAAAAAAAATCAAAATTTAAAAACAAGTTTCGAATCGGCAACCTTGTCTTTTGTCAACTGTGTCTTATTATTTTATCTTAGTAACATCGACAGCACTATGGCACTGCTTTACTAATTTAAAAAATTAAAGTATTTAAACATTTTTTGCTTCAAATAATGTTTATATTATGTGTTTACATATTTGTATACATGTGTATAAATATAACACGTTATTTATACGCGAGTACAAATAATAACTTTCTTTTCAACCACATGAGATATTCTATCTCTGGAATTTTATCCGTATATTTCTTGAAGATTTTATCCAGATATTTTTGAGAAAAAGTTTCCATTTTTTATTAAATATGACTTGGATAATCCCTGGCATAGTTAGGTATATTTGCTTAAATAAAACTGTTTTATTTTGAACAGTTATTTTGCTTCATTGAAAGGTTTCATTTTTAATTCTACAGGATAATTTTTCAAAACCTTAATTTAAATAATAGAGTTGTAAGAAGCCTTTGTTGTTGTTTTTTAATTTAATGAAAGCTTACTTATATATTATATCTTATATCTTGGCCACTGCAATGATTCTTGTAAAATGCTCAATGGTCATTCATTTACAAGTCTATTTCCAGTCTACAAATGCTTGCTCCACTTTTTTATTAAATGTAAGAAGTTATTAATTGTGAAAAGTGTCAAATAAAAAAAGTTTTATTACCTGTCAAACAAGCTGTAAATTTATCATTAACACAGTCCCTGAAAATATCTAGACAAGTTAAAGAAAGTTCTTGGCCATTCTTCATTCTTGTCTCTTCTTTAATGGCCAATTTTTGGCCATTGAAGAAGAGACAGCGGATCTTATTTGATCTTTTACTGGATAGACTCTCATCTTTCTAAATTAAGATTTTTTCAATTGTTGGTGCCAATTCGATTCCAGGCCTTTCAACTTCAATGTTGATTAGTTAAAATTACTCTTATTTTAAACTGATATATTTTTTTAATGAACCTATTGCAATCTTTTTTTTTTTCCTTTTTTTTATTCTTGTTATATTTTCATTATTTTGCTATATTTTCCAGAAAGAGACTGATGTTTTTCCAAAATCAATTAGGGAGTCATAGTCTGTTACTCAGCTATCAATAATTTAAGCTTTGTCAAAAAATTTAAATAACCAATTTTTTACTACCAATATTAAATGAGGCATTTAACTTTTAATCTATAAATTGGTAGTACTTTTCTAGCGGTAGTAAAGAAAAAGTGCTTCTTGCGGTAGTAAAGAATAAGTGCTTCTTAAAATCTTCTCAAGTTTTCTCAAAAAAAATCTCAAAAAATATTTGCTTCTATTGTATACTTTCAAATTTAGCAGTCTTTTTTTCTAAAAAAAAAATTTAATATTGAATTTATAATTATCAATATGAACAAAATCTTTATATAATATCCTGATTTATAAGCAATATTCCAGTCTTGAACCAGACTTAAAAAATTTGGAACATATGGCTTATTGTCTTTTATGAATCAGTTTTGCTTCTTTTTTAGGTATCTCTTCTCTTCTAACTACTTCTAAGTTTTATCTAAAGATATTTTATCTAAAGACATTTTATCTCTCGAATTAAGTGTGAATCTCATTTATTACAAATAAAATTAAAACTGATAGTAAATCACTTATGCAAAAAAAACAGTTTTTGCAATAACGCAAGTTTTAACTTTCGCCAGTGTTTGCACTTACGCAAGTTTTCACTTATGCCAGTGTTTGCATTTACGCCAGTGTTTTCACTTATGCCAGTGTTTGCATTTACGCCAGTGTTTTCACTTAGGCCAGTGTTTGAAAGTTTTTTCTTGCTTATTCAAGATCGTATATATGCGGGTTCGCACTTTATTAAATTTTTCACAACTATATTTATTGTTTATGTCGTTTGTTACCTAGACAATAACTAACTTCAGAAGAACTCTTTTTTTTAAAAAAAAAAACCAGATGTCTCCTATGAATAATAATTCAGATCTTGTAATACGTAATATGTAAAATGTAAGACTGATATGATAGTTTCAATTTTAAAATAGCGATATGTTTCAATTTTAAAATAGCGTATTTATGCAATATTTAAATGTAGTTGATATTGTATCAAAGTTTAAACCGAATGTATAATTATCATACTGTATATTGAATGTGTAATTATACATAAATATACTGTATCTGATCTATATAAATACTTATATTTATATAGATCATATTTATCATATTTAGACTTATATTTATATATTTAGATCATATTTAGACTTATATTTATACTTATATTTCTTTTATTAATTTAATGCAAATTCTTTTTTCTTTTTTTTCCTGAATAATTGAATGTGTAATATTTTATAAATCGTTTGTTAGATTTTGTAAATTTCTATTTTTAGTCAGAGGAACTTTTATCCATACTAGCTAACTTTTTGTCAAATTTGAGGGTAGACATGGAAAAATTACTAATAAAACTAGTTGAAGTCAAACAAAAGTGCGTCGACATTACCCTGGATGTGGCTGCAATAGAGGATCTTTTTGAAAAGGTTTTTTTTTTTTGTTTTTTGTTTTTAATTTCTTTTTACATTTTTGGGGACAAGCTGACTTGTTTAACATTCTTGCGTTATATAATAAAAACCAAAAAAATTTTAAAGAAATACCCAATGAAACAATGAGTATACAAAAATATGAAACAAAAGATTTAAAAAGAAAATCTATGGCTTTGTAAGAGTTACTTCAGTAACAAGATTATACCGTTGCAAATTTGTGAAATTTTGAACTGATCAACAAGGTCATCTCATCTTTATATGAACACACTTAAAAAAATCCTACATTTTAGCGTGTAAAGTAATTTTAATACTTTTTTTGTTTTATTGTTGAGGTGTATATGATTATTATTTTCATCGTGATGTCATTTTTAGACAAGTTCTACCACCGTTACAAAAGTATGGCAACGAATTCAATCAAGTTATCAACAATCTGTTATGGAAATTATTCAAGTGTTAGAACTAAAAATTAATTTTCTTGACACAATTAGTTGATACTCCAAAAAAAATACCGTTTCAAATAAATCGTCCGTTTCAAATAAATCGTCCGACTTGCTGTAATATACTTCTGTAGTAATAATTCATTTCCATAGCAGAATCCTTAACTGGCATGTACTTAGTTTTTATGCTTTTGATTTATTTTCTTTTATAGGCTGTGTTTTTAAATATATTGATATTGTAAAATGAGATTTGAAAGTTTTATTCAATTGTTAAATTTTTACAGTGTCTAGAACGGGTTATGATACAAAACTGATCTATTTTTAAATCTATCTTATAAGTGCCTTAAAAACTTAAAAAGTGATCTTGAAAATCAGCATTAGAAGTAATAAACAGATGATTTTATACTCTTCTAGATACAAGCTCAGCGTGGTGAAGGAGAGATCCAAAAAAAATTATTGCGTTTAAGCCGTTTTTTAAAAATGCCGTTTTGTTTTGCGTGCGTTTTGATTGGTTTTTGATTGAAGCTCGTTTTGTTTCCGTTTTGTTTTTTATGTTTTTTGATTTTATTATCTATGAGATTCCCTCATAGTATATACTATGGGGCAGAAGCCATTTAAAAGCTGAAACGTTTCTGTTTAGTAATTTATTCAAAGACAAAGAGATTACGGAAGTAAATTGCTATGACTGAAAACTAATGTGAAAACATCGATTTTAACGTTTTTACTGTTTATAGAAAGATAAAATAAGAGGTTTTTAGTCATTAAATATTTCAATGGTGTAAACGAGAAGTCTTTTTACTTTCGAAAAATAGAGACATTTTTGGAATGTAAATACGTAACATTTGTTTCAGCTATTTTTATGACGCTGTTCCGTCGTGTTTTATGTATTTTAGTGGTAGTTTTGTTTTGCTTGATGCTTTGGTTAAAAAAAGTTTTAGAAAAAAATAATAATTTATATAAGAAAAGCTTAAAATCTACTTTATAAAAATATATAATAGTAATAGTCGAAAATAAGCGGAAAACACAAAAAATTGAAATTTAATAATGTAAATTTTTGTTCTTATTGTTCGGATCTCTCCTTAACTACGCTGAGAGGGCGGATCCATAGGGGCAAAAGGGGGGATGAGAGCGATTGCTCCTTATTTCCTTTAGATATTTTGGAAAGGATTTTTTATATATATATATATATACACAGGGCCGTCCCGAAGAGATTTTAAAGGAAAGGGGTTAACTTGTGTGTTTTTTGCCGACTAAAGCCAAAAAACAATTTTTTGCCACTAGCCTATCTAAAAAAAATATATATATGAGTTTGAGTCAGAATTTATATATTTCAGAAATCAAAAATATATGCATACATTACATGTGTATATTTTGATGAGAAAGTGCGACACCAGGCACTTCCATGCTGAAAGAAAAGACACTCGTGTGTTCGATCATTTTTCTATATTGAGTTTCAATTTCTCAACGCTATCTTTGAACGAGTTAACTGATTCAGTACTTTTGGAGTCTATAGGTAGCGCATTTCATCGATGCGATTAGTGAAGAAATTAAATCTTTCATCCCAATTTTTTACATTTTGAGGTTCAAGTCTAAGTAATGCCCGCACAAATCGTATTTAGAATTAGGTGGTACGTAGACTTGAGGGTTCTTAAAAATGATTTGGTCAATACCTTTTGTAAATTTAAATTGTTGAATGAGATCACCTCGAACTCTACTTTTTTTAAGTGTGGTTAAGTCGAGATGGCGGAGTCTATCTTTATATTGCAAATGCTTCATTTCCGTTATTGTTTTGTGGCTTTATACTGCACTTGCTCTAGAACAGCAATGTCTTTTTCCTTGTGTGGTGACCAAGCCTGGATAGCAAATTTTAATTTAAGTCTAATATAGGTTTTGTAGAGTACTTTCCACAAAAAGAGTCCACAACTTCTAAATATTTTCTTTAGTCTACCAAGTTTACTGTTGGCTCTTGCTGCTGCTGATTCGACTTGGTACCATACCTTAAAATCGTCTGATAGAATTACTCCCAGATCATGTTTGTGCTTAGTGACGTCTAGTTGAATGTCAAAAAGGTAGTTCGTCAACATAACCTTTATGTGATGAGTAATATAGTCCGGAAGATCGTTTATATATAATATAAAAAAAAGTGGGCTGAGCACAGAGCCCTGGGGTACCCCACTTGTTTCATATTTCCATTTAGATTTGTGCATGCCGATTATAACTCGTTGATAACGGTTCGTTATCCAGTTTTCTATCCAGTCTAAGACCAAACCGTTTATACCATATGCTTTAAGTTTGTCTAAAAGTCTGACGTGTGGAACTTTATCGAAGACTTTCGAAAAGTCAGTGAAGATTATATCAGTGGCGTAACCTGCATTGCGTCTGTTAGTAAATCCCTAGTCTCAAGTAAGTTTGATGTGCATCCTTTACTATGAAAAAATCCGTGCTGTTCTTTGAATATTAGGTTAGTGCTAAGACAGTGATTTATGATTTTTTCGTATATAATACCTTCTATAATTTTGCAGGGTACCGATGTTAATGTTATTGATCTATAATTGGCTCGGTTCTGCTTGTTGTCTTGTTTAAAAATTGGGGTGACATTTGATCTTTTCCATAGTTCTGAAACCTGTGAATCGCAAATTGATTTTTAGTAATTCATTGCTAATGGAATCGCAAATGCTGAAGTTGCGTAATACTCGTGGGTGTATATATATATATATATATATATATATATATATATATATATATATATATATATATATATATATATATATATATATATATATATATATATATATATATATATATATATATTTATATATATATATATATATATATATGTGTGTGTGTGTGTGTGTGTGTGTGTGTGTGTGTGTGTGTGTATGTGTGTGTGTGTGTGCGTGTGTGTGTGTGTACGTGGGTGTATACGTGGGTGTATACGTGTATATGTGTGTATACATGGGTCCACATGGGTGTATATGTGTGTATGCATGGTGTATACGTGTATATGTGTGAATAATGAGGGTTCCAATAATTTTATTTCTAAAGCAATCAGCAAAACTTAGAAATTCAAAATTACAAAGCAATAAAAGCTCTTTGTAGTAGATTTAAGACAAGTCACGTTCAAAAAAAAAGTTAGCCAATTAGAGAAATTAAAAATTATAAGCACTTTGCTTAAGACTTAAAGGTATGTACCTAAAAATGTTCCATAAAGGTATCTTTTAAATAGGCAACACTTTGAGGATGCTGAGCTATCCTTGATGGTTTTTGTTGGGCTACATAGAGCTTCTCTACGAGATAGTTGCAAATTCATTGAGCCCTAGATAAATAATATACGCATCGTTGTAACTATTGTAACATTAAACTTGTTTGTAACATTAGTTATAAGACGTGTTTAAGATAACTATGTAGAAGTTGTTTTTCTGAGAACCTATGAATTGATTTACTATTTCTTATACCTTTACTGAGTTTTAAATTTTTTTGAAATAGCTTAATAACCTAGTTTATAAACACCCCAAAACCGCTTGTCACGCTGTGACGTTAATTACTTGTTAATTAATGATACATCTGATGGAAATTTAATTTAAAAATTAATTTGTAGATATGAAACCTATAAGAGAAATTTGTAAACTTTTTGTTAAATTGACAAGTAATAAATTCAGGTGAATTCTATCCATCATATATTTGCTGAATTATAGTAATGATCTAACAATCGGAAAATTTTACTAATATTAGCTTATTAAGAACCAAAAATAAGTTTTAATATTTATTTAATGTTATAATATTAAAGACTTAACAAAAATATGACTGAGACAGTTGCCACGCTGTAGTATGCGTCACTAAACAGAAATAGGATTTTATTGACATTTCTTAATCATATTCATACTGGGTCGTAGAGGTCAAGTTTATACTGGGTCGTGTTCTTGAAAACTTTTAAAGTAACTTAAATTAAATCATATTTAGCTATTTTTTTAAAACATTAATAATTTTTAATGCTAGAAAGTCACAGATAGAACACCACTTATAGAGGTTTTGATGAATAGGACAAAAAATTAGCAGGTAACCTCTAGAAGGCTCAAACTGTTAAAAATGAAACTTGTGATTATAAACAAATGAGCTATTCAATGAACTTTTCTTTGGTAGGTCACTATCGCATAGGATTTCTATTTGATCTCTCGCTTTCAACATCCTTATTGTCTTTAATGTCGTTATTAGATTCATCTTCAAAATCAAGTTTATAGAAGCAAATTTTAAAACTAAAAGGCTTTTTCACATAAATTCATAATATATTTAAACTTTGTTTAAGTCTCCATCCAATTCAACTAAATGATTGCATTATCAGAATTCTCTACAAAGTTGAGAATATTTGTTATACCATCTTGGGCAAGTTTTATATAGAGAGAATATTTGCATTGCTCTGTGCAAGTTTTAAAATATCGGTAAGAAAGGAAGCGTGAAATTCCTTTTAAAAGCTCTTCCGCGGTGCTCTGTGATATGACCGTAAAGACTCTTTGAGGCACCTAAAATAAATGTAAAAAAAACAAAAACGTTATAATTGTTATAAAAAATGTGGTCAAAAATGTTATACGTGTTACAAAAAATGTGATCAAGAAGTTGTAATATTTAGTTATAACCATTAAAATCGCTGCAAAGTGAAGTTTCAAAAACTCATATTCGAGCGTGTCGTCGACAAGAACGCGGTAAGAACACTATCAGACCCCTTCAGTTACGCGATAATGTTAGGAATGATGTAGTATAATGTGATTAGTTAAAGGCAAAAGGGGTTTAGCGCAAGAAAAATTATAGTGGTCACGCTGTCAAGGCTAATTAATTTTTTTTTTTTTTTTTCTGTTTACATTTGCCTAAAATAAATACTATATTTTACAAGAACAAAGAAAAACAAGGCTTCTGAAAGAAGATTAACTGATTTTATCATCAGAACCTTTACACTTTTATCATACTATAAAAACCGAAAATATAAATCTAAAAAACGGCCGAAATAATAAATATATAATAATAAATTCAAAATAATAATCACGTATCTGTAATAATAATTCTCACAAATCTGTTATAAAAATTCATGATAATAAATTTTATAGATCTGTTATAAATTAAAAAAAAAAAATCTATTAATATAAATATTACTATAAATCTCATAAATCAAGTTTATACTTCAAGTTAATAGTAACTTAAAATGTCATCCATAGCAAGAATAAAATTTTATAATTCATTTTTAAAAACAGAAAAACG